GGAATGTACTCAGTATTAAGTGTGGTGTCAGGTTGGCTGCAGTGTAGGAAAGCTTTTATTCCATGGAAAAGAAGTTCATGATTTTTGTAACTATCTATTATGCAGTTATGTTGCTTTAGATTTAGTTATTTGGATCTCATGATTGGAATAGTATTTTAAATTGGGAGCATCTTACTGTTTGGGAGAGGTTGTTTAGAAATGACAGGTGAAGAATAAAATTATCAGAGTCAAATTTGGCCATATGTAATATGGGCATTAATCATCCAGTGATTTACATATGCCAGTAACAGAATTTACAGAGGTCAGCCAATGGTGAGGTGCTGTTCTCTGGTGGCATTCTGGTAATAATCAGCTCCTGTATGGTGCTTGACAGTTTCCAAAGTACTTTTGTGTTTATATTATTTGTGCCTCCAAAGTATGTAAAGGAGGTTTATTTCAATTCAGTGACCATTTATTGAGCAGGTTTTGTGCCAAGTTTTGTACTAGATCTTGGGAAACCAGCAATAATACAAAGACCTTGACTCCAAGTTGACGTAGACAGATAATATTGGGATTTACGTACAACCAGACGTATAAGTTCGGAAGCAATAATTGAGGGAGACACATATGATTAGGATGTGGTAATGGTAGGTAGTGATGGCTTCCTAGGCTTTGTTATATTTTTTGTTTCAAGGAAGAATTGTGTTTTACATCACTTTGAAACTATATTTCATAATTTACATACGATAAAAAAAAGCTGATAATATACTTTTTTTTTTTTTAGACATAGTCTAGCTCTGTCGCCCAGGCTGGAGTGCAGTGGGATGATCTCAGCTCACTGCAACCTCCTCCTCCCACATTCAAGTGATTCTTCTGCCTCAGCCTCCCAAGTAGCTGGGACTACAGGCACGCACCACCACACCCAGCTAATTTTTTGTATTTTTTTTTTTTTTTTTTTTGAGACGGAGTTTCACTCTTGTTACCCAGGCTGGAGTGCAATGGCGCGATCTCGGCTCACCGCAACCTCCGCCTCCTGGGTTCAGGCAATTCTCCTGCCCCAGCCTCCTGAGTCGCTGGGATTACAGGCATGCACCACCATGCCCAGCTAATTTTTTGTAGTTTTAGTAGAGACGGGGTTTCACCATGTTGACCAGGATGGTCTCGATCTCTTGACCTTGTGATCCGCCCGCCTCGGCCTCCCACAGTGCTGGGATTACAGGCTTGAGCCACCGCGCCCGGCCCTAATTTTTTGTATTTTTAGTCAAGACGGGGTTTTATCGTGTTGGCCAGGCTGGTCTCAAACTCTTGACCTCAGGTGATCTGCCTGCCTTGGCCTCCCAAAGTGCTGGGGTTACAGGGGTGAGCCACCACGCCTAGCTTTGATGATACACTTTTGAAAATTATATTACATTTTCCACAGTTGCACTGTCTTTCCTCTGAAAAGTCTGGATGATCTGTTAGAACATTTAACCTAAGAAAGCCAGGCCCCATGTTGATGCCTGCAATCCCAGCACTTTGGGTGGCTGAAGCGGATGGATCACCTGAGGTCAGGAGTTCGAGACCAGCCTGGCTAACAGGGTGAAACCCTGTCTCTACTAAAAATACAAAAAATTAGCAAGGAATGGTAGCGCATGCCTGTAGTCCCAGCTACTCGGGAGGCTGAGGCAGGAGAATCACTTGAACCCAGGAGGCGGAGGTTGCAGTGAGCCGAGATTGCGCCACTGCACTCTAGCCTGGGTGACACAGCAAGACTCCATCTCAAAAAATAAAAAATAAAAGTACTGCATTTGTATTAATTACACAGACATAATTCTGTATACCAAAGAAAAGTATCCACATTTACTGCAGATTCTTTTGTAGGTTTTGTAGAATGTCTTACTTCATATGAACTTGACCTTGTAAACACTGTAACAAAAACTTTGTTAGAGGTTGGTTTCCTTTTGGAATGGGATCCCTTTATTCTGATAATTGATTCTAACAGAAGACTTCTACTCAATGTGGTAATGGAATGATTTCGGGCAACTCTACTATCCAGCCAGGGAAAGCTAGCTTCCGTGGTGATCCAGAGGTTCTGCTATCACCTTACAAAGCCAAGACATGATTTTTCACTAGGGCTGGCCTTTGTATGACATATATGTTCCATAACGACGCCTGGTGGGAGGCATGTGTTAACATGGCCTAGTGATTTTCTCTGTTTGGTTTTGTGGAATTCAGATACCGGTTTTATCAGTGACTAACCATGACGTGTGGGGACATTGTAAGGTAATTGGTAAGTTTTAGAAAATCTCACAGTGGCTGGGTAATCCGACTTCCTTTTTGTGTAGGATCTGGGGATGAGAATGGCATCCTCCTCCTCCTCCTCTTCCTCCTTCTCCTCCTCCTTTCTTTTTCTTCTTCTAAAAGATGGAATTTTGCTATGTTGCCCTGGAGCAAGAGAGAGCAAGGTGCCACACTTTTATTTTTAACACACACACACACACAATTTTTTTTTCTTTTTTTGAGACAGAGTCTTGCTCTGTCACCAGGCTGGAGTGCAGTGGCACCATCTCAGCTCACTGCAACCTCTGCCTCCTAGGTTCAAGTGATTCTCCTGCTTCAGCCTCCCGAGTAGCTGGGACTATAGGCACGTGACACCACGCCCAGGGAATTTTTGTATTTTTAGTAGAGACAGGGTCTCACCATGTTGGCCAGGATGGTCTTGATCTCTTGACCTTGTGATCCACCCTCCTTGGCCTCCCAAAGTGTTGGGATTGCAGGCATGAGCCACTGTATCCAGCCCATTATTTTTATTTATTTTTCATTTTATATTTTTTGAGACTGCTCAGCCTCTCGAGTAGCTGGGATTATAGGCGCCCACCACCACACCTGGCTAATTTTTGTATTTTTAGCAGAGATGGGGTTTCACCATGTTGGCCAGGCTGATCTCGAACTCCTGGCCTCAAGTGATTCACCTGCCTTGGCCTCCCAAAGTGATGGGATTACAGGTGTGAGCCACCATGCCCAGCTAAGGTGCCACACTTTTAAACAGCCAAATCTTGTGAGAAGTCACTTGTTTATCATGAGGACAGCACCAAGGGATGGTACTAAACTATTTATAAGAAATTGACCCCCATGATCCAGTCACCTCCCTCCAGGCTCCACCTCCATCCAATACTGGAGATTACAATTTAACAGGAGATTTGGGCAGAGACACACATCTAAAACCACATCAGGGATTAAATCATATTATCTTTGTAGTGTAGAAATTCCCCAAAGTCTGTAAACTAACATAAATGTAGTTATGAACCCATGATACTGAAATGCGTTTGCAGAAGCAAACACTACCCAGATCTCCTAGGAATAACAAAGATAAAACCCCATTGAAGATGAGCTCATAATCCATAATTACAAACACACGAGAAAACAATCCTGTAGGAGGGAGAGTCAGCAGACACAACAAACTGTAGGATCAGGCTCCCAAGAGCAGCAATAATGATCAGAAACAGATTAGAGACTTTGTTTTAAAGAATTAAAAACACAAAAGAAGGAACACAAAGCATAAGAAAATAATATGATACTTTGAAAAAGGTCAGCTTTAGAGAAGGACCAAACCAAACTTGCAGGAATGAAAAAAATATCTTTTATTTATTTTTTTCTTAAAATTTTTATTAATCATTTATGAGTAACAAAAGCCCAATATGTGTTAACATAAATAATTTTTTTTTTTTTAAAGATGGGGTTTCACCATGATGGCCAGGCTGGTTTTGAATTCCTGACCTCAGGTGATCCACCCACCTTGGCCTCCCAAAGAGCTATGATTACAGGTGTGAGCCACCGCGCCCGGCCATAAATAATTTTTTTGAAAAATAGCTATTTTTGGCTGAGGGCAGTGGCTCACGCCTGTAATCCCACCACCACTTTGAGAGGCTGAGGCAGGCAGGTCACTTGAGGCCAGTAGTTTGAGACAAGCATGACCAACATGCAGAAACCCCGTCTCTACTAAAAATCCAAAAATAGCCAGGCGTGGTGGTGCATGCCTGTAATCCCAGCTAGTTGGGAGGCTGAGGCAGGAGAATTGCTTGAACCTGGGAGGCAGAGGTTGTGGTGAGCTGAGATCGTGCCATTGCACTCCAGACTGGGCAACAAGAGCAAAACTCCATCTCAAAAGAAAAAAAAAAGAAAAATAGCTATTTTTTTCACATATTAAGACTCATGAAAAACGACTATTTTTCTAAACAACAAAAATTCTTTAGTAAGAAGAGTTGCACTGCTTTACATTTTTGCAAATATCTTTAATTTCTGACAGTAGAAGAAAGCTAGATTCTCATATCTGCTTCTATATTTAGCCTGTTACAATATCACACCAGATAGCTTTTCAAAAATTTCTCTGCATACTCAAGAACAAATGAGAGTGGAGGCCAGGCGCAGCGGCTCATGCCTGTAATCCTAGCACTTTGGGAGGCCAAGGTGGGTGGATCAACTGAGGTTGGGAGTTCGAGACCAGCCTGACCAACATGGAGAAACGCAGTCTCTACTAAAAATACAAAATTAGTTGGGTGTGGTGGCTCATGCCTGTAGTCCCAGCTACTCCGGAGGCTGGGGCAGGAGAATTGCTTTAGCTCAGAGGCAAAGGTCGTGGTGAGCCAAGATTGCACCATTGCACTCCAGCCTGGGCAACGAGAGTGAAACTCTGTCAAAAAAAAAAAAAAAAAAAAAAAAAAGAGAGAGAGTGGAAAAGGCAAATTTTGTGTTAGTATTATAAAAATAGTTTTTACCTAGAATACTCTTGAAAGGCTCTCGAGGGCCCCCAGACAATACTTTGAGAACTATTGCTCTAGATGAATCTCCTCGTTTTACATATAGGGACCCTGGGCCTCAGAGACAGTAAGTGAGAGTCGGGCGTGGTGGCTCACACCTGTAATCCCAGCACTTTGGGAGGCTGAGGTGGGCCGATCATGAGGTTAGGAGATGGAGACCATCCTTAGCTGGGCAAGGTGGTGCGCCTATAATCCCAGCTACTCAGGAGACTGAGGCAGAACTGCATTAGGCTGTGAGGCAGAGGTTGCAGTAAGCCAAGACTGGGCCACTGCACTCCAGCCTGGCGACAGAGAGTAAGTGAGAAATCACTCTCACAGCCTGCTAATGGTAGGATATTAGATGGTTTATGTCACTTCTCTTGGTTTAGGTTCTCAATTGGAAACTTGGGAAATACACCCCAATGGCCTGTCCTATTCCCTGTAAGTTGCAAAGACTGTCATAATATATTACCCCCCACCCAATTTTTTTAAATAAAAGAGGTACATCAACAAACTTGGTAAATTTTGCAACAGGCAGACTGTGTTTGAATCTAAACTACAATATTTGAATTTGGATTTCTATTTGAACAGAACACTAAGGCAAATTCGATAGCATCCTATTCCATGCAAGCTAGTAATGACAAACTGCACAGTAAATGTCATAGATAAACATGGAAAGCAGATTACCCATAAATAACATATTATTTATCATATATTCTGTGTCTGAAATACAATTCAATTACATATTTCAAAAAAATATTCTCAAGTACTGGCTGAAGGGGTGGTGGGTACATCAAGAGACTGGAAATAAACTGGTGATCACAAGAACTTTTATAGATAAAATGGAGTTGTTCCGAAATGCAGATATTTTTCATTCTCTAACCCGACCTTATTTTTGTCTTTTAAAGAAAATCAAGAAATCTTCTCAGCCCCCTAGAGATGATTTCCTTTGCATCCTACCAGATGGTTCAGATCTTCTTTAAATGGATCATAGCCTTGTTCTTTCAAAGAACACAGGGCCCAGAAAAGCTGGTCTAGTGGAGGAAATTCTTCCCAGGGAACCTCCTTCCAACTTTCATTTTTTTCAGGCTCTACACTCTCTGGTTCTGAATCATGAGTCACGTCTACTTCTCCTTTCATTAATATAGTAACATAATGGTAATTTTCCTTCCCAATGAGAGAAGTTACAACTGAGGCAAAGCGAACATGTATCAGGTGAAGAGCTTCTTCCCACGTTTCCCTTCGAGCACATTCTTCCCAGCTCTCACCAAACTCCAAATGACCCCCAGGGAGCTGGAAACTGCCAGCTCCGAAAGACCCTTTCCTCTTCTCCAGGAGGACGCAACGCGAATACTTGCAGCTGGTCACCACGACTCCGACTCCGGACCGCCACCCCTGCGGCTCCGTGCTGGGTGTCACAGTCCGAGGGAGGACCAAAAAATATGTTTTAATTTGATTAACACTAAAGTTTAGTGAACGGACCGGGTGCGATGGCTCACGCCTGTAATCTCAGCACTTTGGGAGGCCAAGGCTGGCGGATCTTAAGGTCAGGAGCCGGAGACCAGCCTGACCAACATGGTGAAACCCAGTCTCTACTAAAAATACAAAAATTAGCCAGCTGTGGTGGTACACGCCTGTAATCCCAGCTACTCAGGAGGCTGAGGCAGGAGAATCGCTTGAACTTGGGAGGCAGAGGTTGCAGTGAGCCAAGATTGCACCATTGCACTCCAGGCTGGGCAACAGAGTGAGACATAGTCTCAAACAAACAAACAAAAATTAGGCGTGAGGGTGTGCGCTTGTAGTACCAGCTGCTCAGGAGACTGAGACCAGAGAATCGCTTGAACCCAGGAGGCAGAGGTTGCAGTGAGCCGAGATTGCGCCATTGCACTCCAGCCTGGACAACAGAGCGAGACTCTGTCTGGAAAACAAAACAAAACAAAACAAGTTTAGCAGATGGATTGAGTAGCAGATTAGAAAGAGTTGATAATATAATCCAGTAAACAATCAAATGAATTTAGGAAAATTCCTTGTAATGTCGTATGGAGAGACAAGGAGATAGAAAACATAAAAGATATGGAAAAGAAAAGCAGATAGTCTTACACAGTCCAACAGAAATATAGTATGAGATACATACATACATATATAATTTAAAATTTTCTAGTACCAACCTAACAGAAAGTAAAAAGAAACACATGAAATTAATCCAAAATATTATTCCATCATGTGATATAAAAATCATGAATAAATATTTTATGTTCTTTTTTCCCACTGTCTTTGAAACCCAGTGTGTATTTTGCACTTATACCACACACAGCTCAGTTGACAGCCATGTGTGGCTAGTGACTATTGTCCTGGAGAATGCAGATCTAACTTACATGTCAAAAGATTTCCAAGAGGAAAGGGAGACAGAGAAGGCAATACTTGAAGAGATAATGGTGGATAATTTTCCAGGATTACTGGGAGGCAGGAATCTTGAGATTCAGGAAAGCCGGTGAGTCCTGATCAGGATGTAAATATTTTGTAGGGAAGCCTATAAAAGCCGAAAACAGAAAATGTGTTAAAACTAACCAAGGGGAAAGATAAGACTACCTACAATGGAACTTCAATTAGACTGAAGACAGTCACCTTTAGTATCTTTAAAATGTTGACTGAAAAGTTACAATGTAAGAATTTTACACCTACTTGAACTATCAATAGTGAAAGTAAAATCAAAGACAAGGTTATCACAACAGACTTTCACTAAAAGAGAACTGTAACACAATTCAAATACAATAAGGTGACTGGAAGTCTGTGGAAATGTGGCAATGTGTGAGAGAAGGGTTCCCCAAAAGAGATAAAAATATAATGTATCTTTTCCTTGTTTTTTAGTATTTTTCCCCCTCTCTAGAGCTTGAATGGCAATGAACGTGTTGAGTTATGGAGTCAGCACTAGTGCAACCTTAACTCCTTGTCATAAGTGTTAGGGAAGCAGGAGCCTAGGAGAGCCAGAGTAAGGCCATTTTAAAATCAACTCCATCTTTTTTTTTTTTTTTTTTGAGGTAGAGTCTTGCTCTGTTGCCCAGGCTGGAGTGCAGTGGTGTGATCTCAGCTAACTGCAACCTCCTCCTCCTGGATTCAAGATATTTTCCTGCCTCAGCCTTCTGAGTAGCTGGTATTACAGGCGCCTGCCACCACACCTGGCTAATTTTTGTCCTTTTAGTAGAGACAGTGTTTCGCCATGTTGGCCTGGCTGGTCTCGAACTCCTGACCTCAGGTGATCTGCCTACCTTGGCCTCCCAAAGTGCTGGGATTACAGGCGTGATCTACCGCACCCAGCTAATTAACTCCGTCTTTTATTTACTTATTTATTTTGAGACGGAGTCTTGCTTTGTTGCCCAGGCTAGAGTGCAGGGGCATGATCTCGGCTCACTGCAACCTCCACCTCCCGGGTTCAAGCAATTGTCCTGCCTCAGCCTCCCAAGTAGCTGAGATTATAGGTGCCTGCCACCATGCCTGGCTGATTTTTGTATTTTTACAAAATTTAGTAGAGACGGGGTTGGTTTCACTATCTTGGCCAGGATAGTCTCAATCTCCTGACCTCGTGAGCCACGCGGCTCGGCCTCCCAAAGTGCTGGGTTTACAGGCGTGAACCTCCGTGCCCTGCCAACCTCATCTCAAAACTAGCAAGGCACATTCCTTGCTAGTGATGACCCAAGGTCATAAGATCTTTATAGTTGAGGAAAGAGCCTAAAGATTACCTGCAAGGACAGACTTCTACAAAAACAGAAAGTCCAGATGTCCCAATACCCATAACAAGATTTGCTTTCAAGATAATTATGCTTTTTTTCAAGTTACTTATGCTTTGATGTACTCACACAGTAGAATGTCAAGGATAGATTTCTTTAAATCAATACCATAATAAATTTGGTCATGCTGTCTGCTCTTCTGCACATAGGCACAGCTTAGTTTAGTCTTTGTATAGGCAAGATACTTATATAAGAAAAACTTAAAGACTGTGTGTTGGCCGGGCGCGGTGGCTCAAGCCTGTAATCCCAGCACTTTGGGAGGCCGAGGCGGGTGGATCACGAGGTCAAGAGATCGAGACCATCCTGGTCAACATGGTGAAACCCCGTCTCTACTAAAATTACAAAAAATTAGCTGGGCATGGTGGCGCGTGCCTGTAACCCCAGCTACTCAGGAGGCTGAGGCAGGAGAATTGCCTGAACCCAGGAGGCGGAGGTTACGGTGAGCCGAGATCGCGCCATTGCACTCCAGCCTGGGTAACAAGAGCGAAACTCCATCTCTCAAAAAAAAAAAAAAAAAAAGACTGTGTGTTCCTCCACTTGCTTTCTGAGAACGCTCTATTCTATAATGAGGTAGCTTTCAATAAACTATCCCTTCTCACTGCACTCTGATTCTCCTTGAATTCTTCTCGTGTGAGACCCAAGAACCTTCTCTTGGTTCTGTACCAAGACTCCTTTTTCCAGTTACAATAAGGTAGGAGAGAGAAGAGAAGGAGGAGCATATGTTCTTTTATTAGCAGGATAGTACATCATAGTATTCCTTTATTTGTTCAACTTTGGGATACAAAATGTTTAGAAAGCTCAGTGAACAATTAAGAGTTACACAGAAAAAAGACATTGTTTTGGAATATAGGGTAGCATAGGGAAGATAGGGATTAGTAGCGTGTTTGGGGTTGTATGAGGACAAGAAAAAGCATGACAGGGTGAGGAGGGAGGCAAGACTGAGGATGAGGAAGCCTAAATGGGAAATAGAATTGACAATTGATCACTACTCTATTACTATAAAAATTACCTATTAAAGGCTGAGCACAATGGCTCACGCCTGTAATCCCAGCACTTTGGGAGGCTGAGGCAGGTGAATCGCCTGAAGTTGGGAGTTGAAGACCAGCCTGATCAACATGGAGAAACCCCATCTCTACTAAAAATACAAAAATAGCCAGGTGCGGTGGTGGGCATACGTAATCCCAGCTACTTGGGAGGCTGAGGCAAGAAAATCACTTAAACCTGGGAGGTGGAGGTTGTGGTGAGCCGAGATCATGCCATTCCACATCAGCTCGGGCAACAAAAATCAGAGTCGGTCTCAAAAAAAAAAAAAAAAAAAAAGAAAGAAAGAAAGAAAAAAAAGATGGGAAATCGAACTGACAATTGATCACCACTCTATTACTATGAAAATTACTTATTAAAGATTCATTTAGCCCTCCAACTGGGCTCCCTGAGGAAGGGGAGTAGGGGGTGCTAATTAGCTAATTTAATCAGCAACTTAATTACAATTTTAATAACTGCCATTGATTGAATACTTATAAATGTCAATCATAGCTCTGAAGTGTTCTAGTGTCTTTAAAAATTTAAGCTTCAAAGCTGGGCATGGTGGTGTTTACCTGTAGTTCCAGCTACTTGGGAGACTAAGGCAGGAGGATGGCTTGAATCCAGGAGTTTGAGTCTTGCCTTGGCAACACAGCAAGACCCTGTGTCTTAAAAAAAAAAAAAAAATTAAATGTCAACAAATCTGTGAAGTAAATTTTTAAAAATTGTGGCAAAATGTAAATAACATCAAATTTACCATTTTAGCCATTTAAAATTATACAGTTCTGGCCAGGTTCGGTGGCTCATGTAATCCCAGCATTTTGGGAGGCTGAGGCGGGCAGATCACTTGAGGTCAGGAGTTCATGACCAGCCTGGCCAACATGGTGAAACCATTTCTCTACTAAAAATACAAAAATTAACAGAGTGTGGTGGCGCATGTCTGAGCAGTCCCAGCTACTCAGGAGACTGAGGCAGGAGAATCACTTCAACCCAGGTGGCAAAGGTTGTAGTGAGCCAAGATCTTACCACTGCACTCCAGCGTGGGTGACAGAGTGAGACTCTGTCTCAAAAAAAACAAAAAAAAAGAAAGAAACAAACAAAAAAACCAATTCTGTGGCAATAAAAACATTTACACTGTTGTACAAATCAAATGAAGTAGATTTTTAAAATAGCTTTACTGATGATCAAACTTTGTATCAGACAGTTTAAGTAATTTGACTGTTGGTAGCAGAGTGAAGATTGAGCTCCTTCTTTGTCTGACTTCAAATTCTGTGCTCATTTTCTTTTTTTTTTTGAGACGAAGTTTCGCTCTTGTTGCCCAGGCTGGAGTACAATGCTGCCAACTTGGCTCACCGCAACCTCCACCTCCAGGGTTCAAGCAATTCTCCTGCCTCTGCCTCCCAAGTAGCTGAGATTACAGGAACCCAAAACGATGCTTGGCTAATTTTGTATTTTTAGTAGAGACGGGGTTTTCTCCATGATGGTCAGGCTGGTCTCAAATTCCCGACCTCAGGTAATCTGCCTGCCTTGGCCTCCCAAAGTGCTGTGATTACAGGTGTGAACCACAGCGCCTGGCCTCTATGCTTATTTTCTATAGCATAGACCTGCAACCTTTTGGAGGGAGATGAGATTTAAACAAGTGAAATAGGCCGGGCACAGTGGCCCATGCCTGTCATTCCAACACTTTGGGAGGTTGAGGTGGGGGGAATCCTTTGAGGCTAGGAGTTTGAGACCAGCCTGGGCAACGTAGCAAGATCTTGTCTGTTAAAAAAAATCAGCCAAGCATAGTGGTGCATGCCTGTAGTTCCAGCTACTCAGGAGGCTGAGGCAGGAGAGTCACTTGAGCCCAGTAGTTCAAGGCTGCAGTGAGCTATGATCATGCCGCTGCTCTCCAGTCTAGGCCACAGAGCATGACTCTGTCTCTAAAAACTTTTTTTTTGTTTGTTTGTTTGAGATGGAGTCTTGCTCTGTCACCCAGGCTGGAGTGGCGCCATCTTGGCTCACTGCACCCTCTGCCTTCTGGGTTCAACTGATTTTCCTGCCTTAGCCTCTGGAGTAGCTGGGGTCACAGGCGCCTGCCATCATGACCAGCTAATTTTTGTATTTTTAGTAGAGATGGGGTTTTGCCATGTTGGCCAGGCTGGTCTTGAACTCCTGACCTCAGGTGATCTACCCACCTCGGCCTCCCAAAGTGCTGGGATTACAGGCGTGAGCCACTACGCCCAGCCTGTCTCTAAACAACTTAAAATTAAAAATAAATAAATAAAAATTTATAAATTAAAATTCAATAAAAACTAAAAACATTTAAAATTGATGTAATAAAATCACAGACTGTCTTAAGCTCTAGGAAGGAAATAGAGTGATATGACGGTTACTGGACTGAAGGCGTAAGAGATTACTTAATGGGATACAGAAGGCCTCTTTGTGGAAATGACCTTTGCACTGAAACTTTTGAGGGGGAAATATAAAGGCTTTGAAGTGAGAAGGAATGTGGCATGTCTGAGACAAAAAAAAAAAAAAAAAAGGCGGGGGGTTTAGCTGAGTAAAGTGTGTAAGGGGCAAAGTGATTTAGAAGAGAATTTCACTGAGTGACTTTCATTTTGGTAATACTTACGTTAGGGAGATTGTTAAGCTATGGATGCAATCAATGACAGGCGACTACTGAGCAGTAGTTCTCGATCCCTGTAATATACAGTCTCAGTGTTATGTAATGAAGATGACCTTCCAAAGTGCTGGAATTACAGGTGAGCTAGATTTTATTTTCCCTGCTTTATAGATGAGAAAACCAAAGATCAGAAAAATTAAGAAACATGTTAAAGTTATCAGCTACTAAGTGGCTAGCCTACTCAAAGGCAAATTTTGGATTTTTCTTCCTTTTCCCTGGAGACTCTGTGGGCAAATCTCCTAAATCTCTTTTTTTTTTTTTTTGAGGTGGAGTCCCGGTCCATCACCCAGGCTGGAGTGCAGTGGCATAATCTCGGCTCACTGCAACCTCCGCCTCCTGGGTTCAAGCACTTCTGTCTCAGCCTCCTGGGTAGCTAGGATTACAGGATTATTTTGTACTTTTACTAGAGACGGCATTTTGTCATGTTGGCCAGGTGGGTCTCAAACTCCTGACCTCAGGTAATCCGCTCACCTCGGCCTTCAAACGTGCTGAGATTAAAGGCGTGAGCCACTGCACCCTAAATCTTTTATGCCATTTATAATGATTGAAAGTCTAGTCTAGTTTAAATAAAAACTTTTAATTTCAGATGTAACTTAACGCTTCTCCCCTAAGTCTCAGGCAGTTGAAAATTTGTGTTTGGTTTACAGTTTCACTCTTTTCATTCTCCATCCTCTCACTCTGCTGTTTCTGGGTCTCCTCCAGGGTAGAGTAAGTTTTGGTGAGAGTAGAGAAGTAGGTGGAATTAAAATAAGTCAAGGTCTCCTCTCTTCATGACTGTTGACATCAGAGGCAGAGACCGGGGTGCTGGTTCTTTCTTGTTGGGAGTATTTACATGTTCTTGTGTTCTTTGGAGGATCTACCTGTGGACCTCAAGACTCCCATCAGTGACTGCCTCCTGAAGTTCATACTTCCAGCCTCTTATTACTGGGTCTCCTCACACTAGCATATGGCCCTACTGAATAGGTCTCTTTAAGAAGGTCCAGGATGATCTACCTTTTCAGCATCCACTTGGTCCTTAAGAACCTTGCCATGTCAAACACAGGGAGTGGAAGCTACCCCATTGCTGCCCTCTCTCCTTGTCTTGTTGTAGAGTATGCCAGCCAGCTTTCCTAATTCAGAATTCTGTAGGCTAGAAGTGGGTGATCATCGTCATGAATGTGCACAAATGCCAAACTCCTCAAGAGACATGTCTAGTTAACCTCAAAACGTTCCCCATGGTGATCACACAGGAATGGGCTCACGTTTCCACAGTCAGCAAGAGTTACTAGCTTGGGAGAAAGATCTGGCAGACACTCCTAGTCTATTACAGGAAGGGTCTGCAACCCTGGGCTGTGGACAGCTGCCAGTCAGTGGTCTGTTAGGAACCAAGCCCCACAGCAGGAGGTGAGCAGCTGGGGAGCCAGCATTACCACCTGAGCTCCACCCCTTGTCAGATTACCTGAAGCATTAGATTCTCATAGGAGGCAAACCCTATTGTGAACTGAGCATGCCAGGGATCTAGATAGTGTGCTCCTTGTGAAAATCTAATGCCTGATGATCTGAGGTGGAAGTTTTATCCCAAAACCATCCCTTTTCCCCACATCCGTGGAAAAATTTTCTTCCACAAAACTGGTCCCTGGTGCCAAAAAGATTTGTGTCCACTGTTTTTACAGTACCCTCTCTTTGTAGTGAGTCCAGCACTCTATCCTCTCCTATGATTTCTTCTTTTTTTTTTTCTTTTTTGAGATGGAGTCTTGCACTGTCGCCCAGGCTGTAGTGCAGTGGTGCGATCTCGGCTCATTGGAATCTCCACCTCCTGGATTCAAGCAATTCTCCTGACTCAGCCTCTGGAGTAGCTGGGACTACAGGCGTGTGCCACCATGCCCAGCTAATTTTTTTGTATTTTTAGTAGAGACAGGGTTTCACTATGTTGGCCAGGATGGCCTTGATCTCCTGACCTGGTGATCTGCCTACCTCGGACTCCCAAAGTGCTGGGATTACAGGTGTGAGCCGCCGTGCCCAGCTTTCTATGATTTCTTCTAAAGCCTCCCACCTCAGCCTCCCAAGTAGCTGAGACTACAAGGTGCACCACCACCATCCTCGGCTAATTTGTGTATTTTTAGTAGAATCAGGGGTCTCTCTGTGTTGCCCTGGCTCAAGCAATCTGCTCGCCTCGGCCTCCCAAAGTTCTGGGGTTACAGGCGTGAGCCACCTCACCCCGCCAGAAGACATTTAATCCAACTCTCCATCAAAGTCATGAGTCCTGTTTACAACAACTTGAGATGTCATCTGCTTTTCATGTGAACACACCCAGGAATTAGGAAGGCAGTCCCTAACTGGCAGCTCTCAGTTCTCTCAATCACGATTTGAGCTTCATCAAATAACTCAAATCCCCTGTTTCCTCCCATATTAAAGGGGAGTAAATATCTTCCTCACAAAACATTTTTGGGAGAATAAAAGTAGATGAATATTAATGGGCTAATCTATTTACAGAGGAAGGTGTGCAACGTTAGTTCCCTTTATGGATCCTTTTATTTTTTTGAGACAGAGTTGACCTGGCACGGTGGCTCACACCTGTAATCCAAGCACTTTGGAGGCCAAGGCGGGCAGATGACCTGAGGTTGGGAGTTCAAGACCAGCCTGACCAACATGGTGAAACCCCGTTAATAAAAAAGCACAAATAAAGAAAAAAAAAAAGAGACAGAATTTCGCTCTTTTTGCCCAGGCTGAAGTGCAATGGCATGATCTCGGCTCACTGCAACCTTCGCCTCCTGGGTTCAAGCGATTCTCCTGCCTCAGCCTCCCAAGTAGCTGGGATTACAGGCATGTGACACCACGCTTGGCTAATTTTATATTTTTAGTAGAGATGGGGTTTCTCCATGTTGGTTAGGCTGGTCTCGAACTCCCGATCTCAGGTGATCCTCCCGCCTCCGCCTCCCAAAGTGCTGGGATTACAGGCGTAAACCACCGAGCCCAGCCTACGGGTCCCTTTATGGGACAGGACTTTCCAGCTTCGGATTGTCATCACCTAGAGAAAGGTCTTCCTTATATTGAATTGTCTTTGTACCCTTTTGGCACCTTTCTTAAGTTTAACCCTAAGAGGTCTCATAGAATGTCATTTTTCTGTCCACACGACATCTTCACTGATATCTCTGACTTTAGTTGAAGGGACTGAAGATATTGGGAAGAAAAATTGAATTTTTCTTCTTTTTATTTTTTGAGCTGGGGTGCTGGGTGAGTCTTCTGTGGATTCCCAAGGGGTGTTTGTGGCGTGAATGGAGCACAGGTGATGTTTCAGTTCATCACGTCCAGCGCTGTCCCAAGATGAAACGCGCGCGTGGGAAGGACCGTTTTCTCCGGCCCTGGCAGGTCTGCCCTCCTGCCCTGCTAGCACGCTGTGGGAGTCAAGCCTGGAAAGCGTGTGTGCGGCGCACAGGCTCCAGACACTGGAACGCTTTCGAATGGTGGCATTGTCTGCCACATAGCGAGCACTTTATAAGGTCACGTATCGCCCTGAATGAATGGTTAAATCGTGGAAGCTGCAAAAAAAGCCACACAGCTGTGACTGAACACCTAGCCCGGTACTCAAGAACCCCTCTCAGGGGTGCGCGAGAGGGGCCAGAATCAAGAAGCCTCTTTTGGAGTGGGCGGGACCGACCTTGGGCTCCCCCTGCGGGGCACCGCCTCTTTTCCTCTCCGCCCGCCCGCTAGGCGGCGCCATGGAGCTTGCAGCCCACCTGCGAGGCACTCCCGCCCTCCCCACCCCTCAGCCCGCGCCCGGCGGAGAGACTACAACTCCCGGGGTGCTCTGGCAGCGGAGCCGCCGCGGGAGCTACGGGCGGAGGGACGCGAGGGCGGGCTTTCCGGGTGTGTGTTTCCGGCGTTGGCGGCCGTGGCCGGGGACGGTGTGAGAGCGGTAAGATGGCGGCGGCGGCGGTGGTGGAGTTCCAGAGAGCCCAGTCTCTACTCAGCACCGACCGGGAGGCCTCCATCGACATCCTCCACTCCATCGGTAAAGGTCGCCGCGCCGCCTCCCGGGCCCTGCCGGCCCAGCTCGGCTTCTGTCGGTCGGTGGCAGCGGAGAGGGGCTGGGCTAGTCGGCTGTGGTGCTGCTGACTCACTGTGTGTGTGAGGGGGGCCGGGCCGGGGGCGCAGGCCGCTCCGATCTCCCCGGAGCCCCCCGGGTCCCACTCTTGTGGGAGGCCTTGAAGCAGCCCCCGGGTTCCCTTGCTGGCTGCTGACTCACGGGGGGTTCAGCGTGGGGTGGGAGAATGGGCCGAGCTGGGCCCCCACCCGTCCCTAGCCTCGTCCCCGGCTCTGGCCCGCACGAGCTGGTCTGGGACCCGGAGCAGTGCCGGGCTGCGAGCTTGTCACGGGCTGGTCCGAGAGTCTCTAGTTGAAAGGCCTTGGCGAAACCAGCCCAGGACGGGCATTTCCCGCCGTTGTAATCAGCACAGCCTGCTCCGGGTGGGAGCGCGAGCGCTTGCTCTTCTCTAGGAGTTTCCTTCCACGGGACGCGGGGAGCTGCTCCCTCTCCCCGCCCAGCCCCACGGCGGAAAGCTCCACTAGAGGAGGGTCTCTTTCAGAATGTGAGAAATGCAGGGGTGACACACACCTCAGATTGGCATTTGGTTTGTGGAGGTGGCCGAGACGCTCATCTGCGCTGTGTAGAGTGTAAGAGTGAGGTGTTGGAGTGGGACCGCCCGGCTACAGGAGGTGACTAATCTTTTCAGACTCCCTGTAGAGGGGTTGGAAGTGAGTTAAGGGAGTTAGTTGTCAGCCGCGGAGTTCAGGGAATGCTTTGCAACGGGTCGGCTGCATGTTGCCGGAAAAATTAAAGACATTTTTCTTAACACTGTATGATGGTCTACACCTGCACACAACAGGAAAACTGAAATGGGAATCCCAGACGGTCGCTTCCGGCAGCTTTCTATTGGGATTCAAGTGTGAACAGAAATTTGTGATGACAGAGGAAGACTTTAATGTTCAACTCATAAAGGATTCAGTTAGGGCATGGACCAGCTCTTCACCGCATGTGATGGGATCTTTTTAGTGTAGCTTGAGAAGATCTGAATTGGCTCAACAAGTAGTATGAGAATGCACCTGTATGTTGGACTGGGAAGATGTTGGCATGTGACTTATTTAGTGTGTTGAATTTTGGTGTTCCAGACCTGCACGGAGAAAGGACAATGACAAGATCCTGATACTTTGTCATCGGGGATACTAGAGAAGGAGAGGAAGTGGTTAAGATGTATCTTTGAATGAATTATGTTAGTAAAAGGTGTTTCATGTTAAAAGTTCTGATCTTGACTTAGGTCAGTTACTTTTACGGAACCGGAGTCATGTCAATCACCGTTCCTTGTGTATTTTATTATGGGTACGCTTAGAACTTACGTGAGGAGCATGAATTTTAGTTTTCTGTGCCTAGTGCCTAATGTTTTGGCATTCATAAAGTAGAAATTATGTTAAACATTACAATTAGAGTATTTCCTGTTTGCCCATTATACTGGGGGAGAGTTCCCTGAAAACTTCACTGTTAGAGCAAGCTTGAGGCATGATGGTTGATGGTCTTACTTTTTCTGGACTCCATCATGGAGTATCAAAATCTTGGTTTTTGTCAAGTCATGATGCTTTGTAAGAGTAGTAGTAACTAGTGATGATCACTACAAACTTGGAGAGACTATTCCACGTTTGAATGTTAAAATAGTTATTAACTGTTGAAAATAGGACAGATAGCACAAAGTTCTTTTCACAGACCTCAATGCATTAAAAAACAGCAGTCTCTCCTAAGTGTAGCTGTGCAGGATCACACTGGGGCTTTGATAGAGTTGTTTTTCTTGAATGGCTTTATAGAACTGCTTATCCCTAACACACCCATCAGCTGAGGCTTTTCACAGACCTAAAGTTTATTGAAAGGCTTTTGACTTACAGTCATCAATAACTTGGTCATTTGATTTTAGTTAGTGGCATAAACGACAGGCATGTTTAATATCTTCACATAACATAGTGACTAGCATGGATCTTGGCATCATAAGTATGAAGGATTTGTTTTGTTTTAATTTTGCTTTAACCACAACAGAAACTCAGTGTATGTAGATAAGCAAAATTCTAGTGGATAGAATGAAGAGACACATTTAAAATCAAAAGAGAATAATACTTTTTTTTTTTTTAATGATTTACATGGAGCATGTCCTACATATATATGATCATTTTTTTTTCCTGGCTTAGAGGTTTTTTTTTTTACTCGCTAGAATTTGTCTTTTGGTAAATATGAATTTGTAATGGGCCTTATGAGGGTGAAATTTCCTTCAGTCTTTACTTTTTGGTCAGGATTTTAAGAGGGTTTGTGTTTTTCTCTCCCAGTGAAGCGTGACATTCAGGAAAATGATGAGGAGGCAGTGCAAGTCAAAGAGCAGAGCATCCTGGAACTGGGATCTCTCCTGGCGAAGACCGGACAAGCTGCAGGTAAGTGCTACACATGGATTGCACCTCAAATGCTGAATGAAATTCCTGTCTTTTACTGGAGTAAAGAATCATGGGACTCCATTCACAAACTAAATTCAGCTTTATTTTCTTGGCAACTTTTTTTTAGCAGGAAATTAAGTGGTCTTTAAACTCAGTTCTTTCATGGCAATTTTGTTTTGCAAATGAGTGACAGTCTTATTTTTTTGGGATATAGTGATCTCTGATTTGTTTCTGGTTTTTGAATTCTCACTGTATTCCCTTACATAGAGGCAGCAACAGTCTTCAATAATTTCACTGAGCAACTCTGATGTATTTAAGATAGATAGCGTCTTAAGCACTTGATTTAAAAATGACCAGGGAGTTTGTATCCAAGTGACTCACTGCTTTTTTTTTTTTTTCTTTTGCTAATTAAGAATGAGAATGAGTAAGACATTAAATGTAGCCTTCCCAAGGCTTCTCCAATAGTACCTAGGACTTTGGGCACATCATTGCTCAAACATTCTAGTTGTAATTGAACCATTGACTGATTAGATTTGACATAATAGTCTGATGGTGGGTGTGTCCTTGGAATGAGAAGAGAGTCCTTTTGACCAGGAAGGACCTTTCATTGGTAAAGTGATTAATAGTATTTAGAGAGGAATCTGTTTAAACTTAAAATGGGTGATTTTTGTCAAGTTTAAAATGAATTTAGAACACATTTGATTAGAATGAATTAACCTCTGGTAAGTGACCTCATGAATTATTTTCCCTAAAATTATGTTGTTCAAGAGAATGATGGGGGTTAGCTAGCACAGCTTCTTGAACTTGAGAACTAAAGATTTTTTTTTTCAATTAAAGATAACTGATTTATTAATTATTAAGCTCAGTCTACAGAATTGAATAAAGATGTATGAAATTGTGAGGATGTGTTTACGTGGGCCTTATATCTTACTGAAAACATCATTAAGTATCTATTAGAAGAACCATACATAATGGTTTTTGAATGCTATGAACTAGTTACTCTTTTTTTTGTTGTTTTAAAAAAATTTTTTTTGAGACAGTTTCAATCTTATTGTCCAGGCTGGAGTGCAGATTGTGTGATCTTGGCTCCCTGCAACCTCTGCCTCCCAGTTTCAAGTGATTCTTCTACCTTAGCCTCCCTAGTAGCTAGGATTGCAGACATGTGCCACTATGCCCAGCTATTTTTTTTTTTTTTTTTTAAGTAGAGGCGAGGTTTCACCATGTTGGTCAGGTGGGTCTCGAACTCCTGACCTCAGGTGATCTATCTGCCTCAGCCTCCCAAAATGATGAGATTACAGGTGTAAACCATTGCACCTGGCCAACTAGTTACTCTTTTAAACACATACATGGTTTAACTTGATTGAATCCTCAAAACAACCTGAAGTAGGTACTGTTATCTGTTTTACACATGAGGATACTGAGCACGGAAAAGTTAAATAATCCACCCAACCTCATTCAACTAGTAACTGGTAGACTTAGGATTTGAACCTGTGTAGTCCTACTTCAGAGCTCATATAGCCACATGACATCATGGCTATTGCTTTCCTTTAATTGTCTACTTACAAATGATCACTGGTGGGTGGTGTCTTTTCATCTTAGGCTAACTTCCCTCCTATTTAACATACATATGGATTCCATTGTCTGTCAGTTAATTTGAGCTTGGGGGGTTCCAAAACAGTTTTGACAGTTACTCCATGCAAAATATAATTAATAATTTTTCTGAATTATAAAGCCAACTGAAGTGATGTGAAAGTTTTTTTTGTTGTTAGCCAGGTGTTGTGGCTCATGCCTACAATCCCAGCACTTTGGCAGGCTGAGGCAGGAGGATCCCCTGAGCCCAGGAATTTGCGACCAGCCCTGGCAACATAGTAAGACCCTGTCTCTACAAAAAAATAGAAAACTTAGCTGGTTGTGGTGTTATTTGCCTGTAGTCCCCAGCTACTCTGGAAGCGGAGTGGGGAGGATTGCTTGAGCCAAGGAGGTTGAGGCTATAGTGAGCTATAATCACACTACTGTGCTCCAGCCTGGGTGACAGAGCAAGACCCTATCTCAAAAAAAATATTTTTTTGTTGCAATATCCAAATTTCTACTTTCTTCCAGTGGCATGAATTAGGAACAAGTGTATGGTATGTAGTCAACACTTCAGTAATTTTCATCCAAAATGTTACTGTTTTGCTTGAAATTCCAATTTTTTATGTAATCTCCTCTTATTTCTTGACCTTCCTGCCTTATGACCCAATACCTGAGAAGTTTAGAAGTGTACTGCTAAGCCTGTTAGAATTTAATAGATGAGTTATAAAGAACTTTCTTTTTTTTTTTTTTTTTTTTTAAAGACGGAGTGTCACCATGATGGCCAGGCTGGTTTTGAACTCCTGACCTCAGGTGATCCACCCACCTCAGCCTCCCAAAGTGCTAGGATTACAGGTGTGAGCCACAACGCCCTGCAAGAAATTTTTTTATTTTTCATTTTTTTTTTTTTGAGACGGAGTTTCGCTCTTGTTGGCCAGGCTGGAGTGCAATGGCACGATCTCGGCTCACCGCAACCTCCGCCTCCTGGGTTCAGGCAATTCTCCTGCCTCAGCCTCCTGAGTAGCTGGGATTACAAGCATGCGCCACCATGCCCAGCTGATTTTTTTTGTATTTTTAGTAGAGACGGGGTTTCACCATGTTGACCAGGATGGTCTCGATCTCTTGACCTCGTGATCCACCCGCCTCGGCCTCCCAAAGTGCTGGGATTACAGGCGTGAGCCACCGCGCCCGGCTTAAGAACTTTCAAAAACATTTCTATGTTAACTTATTGTTTTCTAAGAAAGTTTGATGAGTATAGGTATACACAATGGGAACTCTAAGGAATTCTTGGGGCCTACATATATTTATCTGCCTTTGATATTAGTGATAGAGAGGTTTGTATTGTTTCCTCCCTGAGAACAGAAAATGTGTCTGTTCCATTAATCTTCAGTTTTGTTTTTTATGCATTTAATATATGCATAGCATTGTGCTAAGTATTCTACTAAAAAATTTAAGATAGGATCCCTGGCCAACAACAATCACTTGGGGATTACTGAATAAAACAATGTCTGATGTATAATTGTGGTTACAAGTAGTGTTGAGCATCATCAGACATGATGCCTAGGCTGAGGATTTGCATACTTCATAGCCTAAAACTTTTAAAAGGAATCTGTTGAGTTCTGTGAGGTTTGTTCTTTCTTTCTTTTTTTTTTTTTTTTTTTTTCTGAGACAGAGTCTTCAGAGCCTTGCCCTGTCGCCCAGGCTGGAGTGCAGTGGTGGCGATCTTGGCTCCACCTCTCAGGTTCAAGTGATTCTCCTGCATTACCCTCCCAAATAGCTGGAACTACAGGCACCCACCACCATGCCTGACTAATTTTTGTATTTTTAGTAGAGGCGGGGTTTCACCATGTTGGCAGGCTGGTCTTGGGCTCCTGACCTCAAATGATCACCCACCTTGGCCTCCCAAAGTGTTGTGATTATAGGCATGAGCCACCGAACCCAGCCTTTTTTTTTTGAGACCAAGTCTCACTCTGTTGCCCAGGCTAGAGTGCAGTGGTGTGATCTTGGCTCACTGCAGTCTCTGCCTCCTGGGTTCAAGCGATTCTCATGCCTCAGCCTCCCAAGTAGCTTGGACTACAGTTGTGGGCCACCATGCATGACTATTTTTTTTTTTTTTTCAGTAGAGGTGAAGTTTCACCATGTTGGCCAGGCTGATCTTGAACTCCTGGCCTCAGATGATCCACCTGCCTCGCCCTCTCAAAGTGCTAGGATTACAGGTGTGAGCCACTGTGCTCAGCTAAGTTCTGCGAGGTTCTGACAAGGAAATTCTGGTCATATAATTACAAATAATCCCAGTAAGAATAGGAAGAAGTCAGTATGATTTTATAGGACTTAAAAAGAAATTAACTCAGTATGTATGAAAATAGAAACAGGAAGTATAAACAAGAATGAATATAAAACAGTAGTAGACTAAAACAGAAGATGAACTGAGTCTTTTGAAAAATGGCATCTGGGCACAGTGGCTCACACCTGTAATCCCAGCACTTTGGGAAGCTGAGGTGGGAGGATTGCTTGAAGCTAGGAGTTAGAGACCAGTTTGCACCACATAGCGAGACCCTATCTCTATAAAATTTTTTTTTAAAGCAGCATGGGTAACATAAGGAGACCCCATGTCTACAAAAAAATTAAGAAATTGGCTGGGTGTGGTGGTGTGTGCCTGTGGTCCCAGATGCTTGGGAAACAGAGGCAGGAGGATCACTTGAGCTTGGGAGGTCAAGGCTGCAGTGAGCCACAATTGCACCATTGTACTACAGCCTGGGTGACTGAGTGATGCTCTTTCTCAAAAAAAAAAAAAAAAAGATAAAGAAAAGCAGGGGGACAACTGGACAACTAAGATCATTTGCTTCTCTCTTAGGGTAAGAAGAATAACACTCAGTGCTTAGAGAAAATATTGTAATGCTAGCAGGTGTTAGAGAAAAAGGCAGACTGCTTAGCTCGTGTTTCACCTCTGCCTTTTCTAGGAAGGAAAATGATTTTTCAAAGTGAAAAAAATAGAAATAACAGCAGAAAGAGAGAATTAATGGTAGGTGAGAGAAGACAGAGCAGATAGTCTCTGTAAGTAAGTTCAGGTCTTTAGACTCTAAGAGTTTCTTTTATTATCAAAAAATAGTTCTAACACTTACAACTATAGAGCCATATATTCTGAGAAAAATCATGAAGAGATATAAGGAAACTGAGGATGGGCAAATTTTTTTTTTTTTTTTTTTGAGACGGAGTTTCGCTCTTGTTACCCAGGCTGGAGTGCAATGGCGTGATCTCGGCTCACCACAACCTCCGCCTTCTGGGTTCAGGCAATTCTCCTGCCTCAGCCTCCTGAGTAGCTGGGATTACAGGCACGCGCCACCATGCCCAGCTAATTTTTTGTAGTTTTAGTAGAGACGGGGTTTCACCATGTTGACCAGGATGGTCTCGATCTCTTGACCTTGTGATCCACCCGCCTCGGCCTCCCAAAGTGCTGGGATTACAGGCTTGAGCCACCGCGCCCGGCTGGCAAATGTTATTCTACCTTTCAAGAGGGTAATGCAAAGAATAGATGTATTCACTGTGTGGTGTACATTGAAGCAAAATAAAGAATAGACACTATACAGGGTCATCAGTGGTAGAGCTGTGGGACAGATTATTTGATAAGGAGATGGTAATCTCTTAAAACAGTGGATTTATTGTGAATAAATTATTCCAAACTTATCTTAGTTCTCTCTTTTTTTGTTTTGTTTTGTTTATTTAAGACGGAGTCTCACTTTGTCACCCAAGCTGGAGTGCAGTGGCACGATCTTGGCTCAGTGCAGCCTTGACCTCCTGGGATCAAGCGATGCTACTGCCTCAGCTCCCCAAGTAACTGGGGCTACAGGCCCACACCACCATGCCTGGCTAATTTTTTGTATTTTTGTAGAGGGAGGTTTCACCATGTTGCCCAGGCTGGTCTTGAACCTGAGTTCAAGCAATCCGCCTGCCTTGGCCTTCCAAAGTGCTGGGATTACAGGTGTGAACCACCATGCCCAGCCTAGTTCTCTTTTGGGTTAGTTTTATCAGACCCATAGATTTTCAGAGTTCTGCATGACACCTGTTTTTGTAAATAAAGTTTTATTAGAACAAAGCCATGCCCATTTGTTTCCACACTGTGTGTGACTGGCTGAGTTCAGGACCTGCTACTAAGACCATATAACCTGCAAAGCCGAAAAAATTTACTATCTGGTCCTTCACAGATAAGGTTTGCCAGCCCCTGGATTAGAGGAATGATATAGACTATATCTCTGATGAAACAGGATAGTTGAACATTTGCCATAATATTAATATCACAAGTACAGGTTATGAATTTACAATGGGCTGAATAACTTTATCCAAAACATGTTAATAAATGAATCATTTGTCAGCCTGAAGGGAAGTCTTCAGGCATTATGTCATGAGGATCTGTCCTTGTTTTTCTGGTCAGCATCTGGAATCAATGGTTAAAGCCATTCAGAAGGCATGCTTATTTTTGTAGATGACTCAGTACATTTAGAAGATAGAATTGAGATTCACAGTTATTGCCAAAGCCAGGAAGATTAAATTCAGTTGTGAAAAGGATTAAGTTATATACTTAAAGTATTTTTCAAAACAGGGGTTGGGGGAATGACCTGTTTCAACAGTAGTCTATTAAAAAGGACTTTAATGAATTCAGTCTGAACCAAGAGAAGTATTAGAAAAAGCAAAACATGCTGTCTTGTGTTACATATGACGGCCAGATCAAGAGAATTAAGCCTCCTGGTCTACTGTCAGACCCTACCTGGAGCATTGTTTTCATTTCTGGGTACCACAAAATACCACAAGTAGTAACTTTAAAAATTAGAGTTTGTTCAGAGGAGAACAACTAAGTTATCTAGAAATAAGGACTTTGGAGGAACCATTGAAATAGCCAAAGATGTTAAGCTTGGATAAAGGGAAGTTAGGGAGATGTAAATAATAATTATCTGTTAGTATTTAAAACCATGTGAAAGAAGGTATAGATTTGTGTTTCAAAAAGGAATAATTTGGTTTGGCCAACATTGGAATAGGCTACTTTGTGAATATTTCTGTGACTAGAAATCATTTAGAATCGTTCAGGCACAGGAGGAAATTCTGTGGGAGAAGGGACATTGCACCAGACTACTTTAAAAAAGCCGTCATTACATAATATAATTGAAATAAACGCAAAAGGAATTTGAGGGGGAGAATCACTCTAGACTGGAGTTAGCAGGGAAAACACAATAGGACTTTGATGGACCTGAAAGGATATATAAGATTTGTATAGGCTGAAAAGATAGGAAGACATTTCAGATGGGATTATGGCATTAGTATCTCTTGGAAGCAGGAGTACATGCCATAGTCTGTGCCGAGGTGAATGAGGTGGCAGAATGGCAAAAAGTTTTTAACATTGGGAATCAAAGGTCAATACTGGGGAGTGAAGGGGAAAAATGAACTTTTCGACCCTATGTCAAGTTCTCAAGTACCTGACACAGTCCCGTGCATTCTCTGACTATTCAGGCAGATGAGAATTTCAGGGCCTTGAATTAGCATTCTCTGGAGGGTGAGGTTTGCTTGCCCTGAATTAGAGTTCTCAGGAGGGTGAGTCTGCAATTGGAGAATATTAAAGAGGCAGTGGCACTAAAGTAATTTTAACCTACATTCCAGAAATACCTCCTTCGTTGTTTAGTTGAAACATCCTCTAATTTTTATTGTTTGACAAACATATCTCTAATTTATTGTTTTTTGTTTTGTTTTGTTTTGTTTGTTTTTGTAGTTTATTGTTTTGAAAGATGTTTCTTTAGAGTTTGTGTACTGCCCTCTTCTATAAAGTGGGGGAAATGCTCTATGGTGGATACCTTTTTTGGTCATAGTGTAAGACTTAGGTTTTGAAGATTTATGAGGAATTTAAAAGAGATACAGTAGCACTTTAAGGGCAAAACACTCTAACTTCTATGTGAAAAGTTTATTCAGAAGAGTGCCAGGGAAGTGATATTGCAGAAAGGCTAAACTGGGGAGCACTGCAGAAAGACAGGAAAAACGCATCTGGAGTAGAAAACCTCTGTCTATTTAAAGGGAACAGCTGAAGCAGACTTGGAAAGTAGAAAAAAAAAATTACTTCTATAACCTGATCATAATTTACTGGTTGTGAGGAAGTAATTTTGTTAAGGTGGGAGGGACACAGCATATTTCATGTTCTAGAAAACTGCTTTTTTGAGATTATGAGTACTTGGCTGTTTATCTTTCATTAAGATGGATAAATGAAGCAGAGGCATGAGCTTTGCCTGGAACTTCATAGTAATCCAGTGGCTGAGTAGGGAACAGAATGAAAATTTGGTATATAATGTTAACTTATTTTTGCTACTCTGCTATTTGCTAGGAATGCTTTTTTTTTTTCCTTCTCCTTGTCTTATTCACCTTCCTAACTGAAATTGGAATTCTTTAAACTCCTATAAAGTTTCATTTAGACTGATTCCAGTGATGTAAGTACCGATTTTTATGATGTTGGGTCAATTTTTTAAATGGGTATTTTGTTTCAAATGTTGATGTTTACTTCTCTTTTTGAATTGCCTTTCATACAGAGCTTGGGGGACTCCTGAAGTATGTGCGACCCTTCTTGAATTCCATCAGCAAGGCTAAAGCAGCTCGCCTTGTCCGATCTCTTCTTGATCTGTTTCTTGATATGGAAGCAGCTACAGGGCAGGAGGTAAGTGATATTAATGACAGAAAGTAGACAATATGGAGAAAAGTTTGTCTCCATGAAAGAAATGCCTGCCTGCACTTTACTACTAATGTGGAAAGGAAAGCTGGGAGGACAGCGCAGGACTTATCATGTCAGTTTCTCTTTGTTACAGGGCATTTGATACTTTGGGTCTGTTCCATGCTTTGCTTTGTAAGTGGAGATTGTCAGTGGTCCCTGGAATCCTCATTACATCAGGGTCACAAACTGATTCTTGTCTTTGAGGTATTGTATTGCCACACCTTTGTAATGTTTTCTGTGTCTGTGGTACCTTTCATCTTGTGTCACAAAGCTCCTTCTGAGCACTAATTAAGTCTTGTCGTATCCCTTGGCATGTTTTGTACTGCATATATGCCTTTAGTGAGGGGTGACATCCATCCGTTTGTGTCTCATTGTGCAGAAGTGACTCTGGTGTTCCTGTACGTGTCCCACAAGTTCTGACTAGATCCTGAAGTATATTAAAGAGTGATTCTCTGTAATCATGGAATCTTTTCCAACCTTTTCAAAGATAACTGTATTTTCTGCAATTCAGGAAGAGACACATACCAAAATTAAACATCATTCTGTAAAAAGTGGCAGATTCAAGCAGGGTATATTGTAATTGCTTGGATCTGTTCGTAGAAGAATATAGTTTTTGTCTTTCTTATGGATATATTGATCAGTATTCATTTAATGCCTGTTATATGTTAGGCATGTTTTAAGTACTGGGGATATAGTTGAAAAAACACAGTCACTGTTGTCATGAGAATTATTTTTTTATGGGGAAGGCAGGCAATAAACAAATATAAAATGTCAGATAATGTAAGGGCAGAATTGCTAGTTGGTTATATGTCTGATTGTTTGCTGTCGCCTCTGTGGGCATGAAAGATATGAAAGGCCTTATTGCATATTGAATAAATGGGAATTTCAGAAACCTAGGACACATGCATCCCACTTGGGAATCATATCTTTTGTAAAATCTGGCCTTAATGATACTTTGAATCCTGATTTAAACACTATATACTAACTTTATTTGTAGAAAGTTCATTTGTGGAGCAGTCTTCAGATTCATGTCTCTGGCCAAAATGTTTGATGATTGTATATTAAAAATAGATGGCTATTTTGAATTGAAGTGTCAGTTATTTTAATGAATAAATTAAAAGTATTTGGAGTCTTAGACTTTTTAAAAAAATTATACTTTAAAAACTCATGACAGTGATACCATCCTTTGTTTGAAATAAAGTACCTTAACAGAGACTGATTAGTAAATGTTAATTTGAAACTGACTAATAATTATTACTTGAAAGTTTTGGGGCAAAAAAACTAATTGTGGAAGCTGTTCCTTTTTATACACTGAAGTTTCTGAAATTATCCCCCTCCATAACCTCAAGCTGTTTCAGTGGATAGAACCGCATTTTTTTTTTTTTTTTGGATGGAGTTTCGTTCTTGTTGCCAAGGCTGGAGTGCAATGGCATGATCTTGGCTCACTGCAACCTCCACCTCCCAGGTTCAAGGGATTCTCCTGCCTCAGCCTCCCCAGAGTTGGGATTACAGGCATGCGCCACCACACCTGGCTAATTTTGTATTTTATTAGAGACGGAGTTTCACCATGTTGGTCAGGCTGGTCTTGAACTCCTGACCTCAGATGATCTACCCTACTTGGCCTCCCAAAGTTTTGGGATTACAGGTATGGGCCACCGTGCCCGACGTGCATTTGTTTAATGGTCATTTCTCCTATTCCTATGTGGAAATCCACTCAAGTCACATTTTAGTGCTCTGTTAGAGTTGGCTACTAGGATTCCCTGGCCTTTTTCATGTGATTCTCTGACTGGTTAGGCTGTCCCTTAACTGTGGTTGTGTGTTGTCATTGTTCATTGCACATTACCTTTATATAAACTAGAGACCTTTCTTCCTTTTTTTAGGGTGAAAGGATACGCTTTTAGGCATTGTATCATTTTATCATCAGTGTCATTTTAATTTTTAGTAAAGTCTGTTTTTGTTTTTTGAGACAGTCTTGCTCTGTTGTCCAGGCTGGAGTGCAGTGGCACAATCTCAGCTCACTGCAGCTTCAACCTCCTGGAGTCAAGTGATCCTCCTGCCTTAGCCTCCTGAGTAGCTGGGACTACAGGCATGCACTTACCATGCTTGGCTAATTTTTGTATTTTTGTAGAGTTGGGGTTTTGTCATGTTGCCCAGGCTGGTCTTGAACTCCTGGGCTCAAATGATCCACCTGCCTTGCCCTCCCAAGTGCTAGGATTACAGGTGTGCACCACTACACCTGGCTAAGGCTGATTTTTTTTGATGATTAGCAGTTTTGCTTTTATTAAGAACCAGAGTCTTATTCCACTAAGCAGGACTTCTTTTGGTAATTTTTGTGGATTATAGGTTATTTGCTTGTTTTGGAACAAATTGTGAATCATCCAGATTGTCTCACCTGCACCTTACAGTCAATATGGACAACATCAACATCCAGTCATTTGTTAAATTTTATCAATTCAACTTTCTTCAGTGTCTGCTTCTCCACCTCTTTTGTATTTGTTCTCTCTTTACAACTACCATCTAGTTTGGTTATTTTTTACTTGGACTACTGCAAAAGCCTCATTCCACCGTAGTCAGAGATACTTTACCAAATAGCCCTCTAATAATTTTTTTATTCCTCTTCCTCTTCTCCCATAACGCAAACCTTCAGTGGCTTTCCATTGGCTGCAGAGTTAGATAATTAATGGTTTTCTACAATACAACCTTCTACAATACAACCTACTGCAGTAGTCTAATCTCCCAGTACTCTACTAAGCATATCAAACATGTCAGCCATGTTGTATGCCTGGTTGTTTGCTGAACAAGCCCTGTATGACCCTCATGCTGTACCTCCCTTCCATAGTCTTATCTCAGGTTCCACCTCTGAACTCTTTCCTTCCTGGCTTTAATGTGGTTTTAACTCTTTCAGTGACTCACATTATATTTTATACATGCTCTGTTTCTGATTATTCTGCCTCATCTGACAATTGCTTTACACTTGCCTTATCACCTTTACTGCAATATAATCTCACTCAGGTGAAGCACTGTATGCCTTGCAGTACCACAGAGCCTCATTCCCAGTACAGTTCAAATTCCTCAGCCATGGCTACCACTGCCCACATCCACTATACTAGTCTCCTTTTACTTTCTTTATGGCTATAATTACTGGCCTTATATTTCTACACTTCAAAGTGTCTGGGCTTGGAACATTTATATACATATGGACTGCTGTCAGCTTGATCTTATCAGGGGCTTTTTTTTTTTTAACATTGTTTCACGTTTTTGTTCACATCTTACCTCTTTAGAGACTTTCCTTGATCACCCTATCTAAAATACCCTATCTTTGCTTCCTTTTAAAATTTTTTTTTTTTTTTTTTTTGTGGGGTAGGTAAATCAAAAGCTTTCTTCCATAAAAAATATTTTTTACAAAAATTAGCCAGGTCCACGCCTGTAATCTCAGCTATTCAGGTGGCTGAGGCACAGAATCACTTGAACGGGGGTGGTAGTAGAGCTTCCAGTGAGCAGAGATCGCAGCACTGCGCTGCAGCCTGGGCAACACAGTGAGACCCTGTCTCAAAAAAAAAAAATTGTATATGTGTGTGTATATATAAAATATATAAATATAACTCTTGTTTAACATGTTTCCTCCTGAAGTTCCGTTAAGGTAATATCTACTTTGTCCTGTTGACTACTGTATCCCTAGCACTTAGAGTACTTTGGTTTGAAGAAGCTGCATACCTATTTGTTGAAGGAATGTATGGCCTATGGCTGTGCCTTCCCCATTGATAGATGTGCAGTGGTGTGCTCACAGCTCACTGCAGCCTCAACTTCCTGGGCTCAAGTAATTCTCCCACTTCAGCCTCCCAAATAGCTGGGACTACAGGTGCACACCACTACTCCTGGCTAATTTTCTTTTTTTGTATTTTTAGTAGAGATGGGATTTTGCTGTGTTGCTCTGGCTGGTCTTGAACTCCTGGGCTTAAGCAATCCTCTGGACTCAGCCTCCCAAAGTGCTGGGATTACAGACATGAGACACTATGCCCAGCCAGGAAATACTTTGTTGAATTAAGATCTGAGTTTATTGAATTGAGATGTAAGCATAGGGTGTTGTTTCTACATTTGTTTAGGTAACTCAAGGTCTCTGACTTGGAGAAATAGGAAATCATTTTTGTTCTTAGTTCTTTTTTCTTTTTGAGATGGAGTCTGTGTCTCCCAGCCTGGAGTGTAGTGGTGTGATCTTGGTTCACTACCACCTCTGCCTCCTGGGTTCAAGCGATTCTCCTGCCTCAGCCTCCTGAGTAGCTGGGATTATAGGTGTGTGCCACCACACCCAGCTAATTTTTGTATTTTTAGTAGAGATGGAGTTTTGCCATATTGGCCAGGGTGGTCGTGAACTCCTGACCTCAGGTGATCTGCCTGTCTCAGCCTCCCAAAGTGCCAGGATTACAGGTGTGTGTGAGTCACTGTACCTGGCCTTATTCTTAGTTCTTTTAAAATTCTTGGATTGGGTGTTGGGAAAGAATAGACAAGCAAGTCTTAGGTAGATGGCTCTCCTAGTAGTATTGAGGCCTGAGACAAAATAGGAAATTTTATTTATTTATTTGAAATGGGGGTCGTGGTCTGCTGCTCATGCTGGAGTGCAGGTGCAATCATAGTTCACTGTAACCTTGAACATCTGGGCTCAAACAATCTTCCTGCCTCAGACTCCCAAGTTGCTGGGAGTACAGGTGCGTACCACTACACCTGGCTAATTAACAACATTTTTGTAGAGATAGGGTCTTAGTATGTTGAGACCCAGACTGGTCTCAAACTCCTGGCCTCAAGCGATCTGCTTGCGTAAGCCTCCCAAAGTGCCTTGATTACAGATGTCAGCCACTGTGCCTGGCAAAATAAGACGTTTAAGAACACTGTTAAGACAGCTAGAATTTTGTGTTAAGGAGTTTGGTACTGAGAGTATGAGGGAAGGGATTTTCCTTGTTTTTTTCTATTTGAGGACTAACTATAAGACAGATAAATCTATAGAACCATCTTCAGCTTGCTGTCCCAAAAGTTAGTGTGATTCAGGTTATGATCTGTTCATTTGAATGTAAGGTTTGAAGCCTAGAAAGTGAGGGCATGTGAGTGGGGGAGTGAGAGAGTGAGGATGGGGTAGTTGTCAAGGGCTGGGGAGTAGAAAAGTAAAGTGAAGCGGAGGGAAGGAAGACTGAACCAGACTCTTGCCAAATACCTTCCAGGGATCTCTAGGGAGTAGCCTGTGGGCAACTTTTTTGGTGTAGTCTACACAACTGAAATACAATAGCACATTTTAAGAAACGTTACATCACAAATCATGCTATCAAAACAAGTTTCAGTGGAAAAAACTGATTTGTGTTACAGGATTTCAGACTTGGAATATTGTTTTCTCCCCACAGGGATTTGGTTAATAAAGTTTTTTTTTAAATGGTTAAGTACTAATTTAAAGCTTAAATATCTAATTTTGACCACATCAGGTTTTTGTACTCAAGTAAGAGCCTTCCTCCAGAAGCATGGACTTCTTTTATATTCTTATGCCCTTTATCAGTCATTGTTGGCATTAACAAAGCACAAAGCCTCTCAAACAAAACAAAATAGCCGAGTAGCAAGGGCAGTGCTTTTTAAAGTTTTCCTTAGAACTGAGGTGCTGGTTTCACCAATTACAGTTCTTTGTTATTGATAAAGGTATCCATCTAGGCATGGTGGCTCATGCCTGTAAGCCCAACACTTTGGGAGGCCGAGGTCGGCAGGTCACTTGAGGTCAGCAGTTCGAGACCAGCCTGACCAACATGGTTAAACCCCATCTCTACTAAAATACAAAAGTTAGCTTAGCATGGTGGTGGGTGCCTGTAATCCAAGCTACTCAGGAGGCTGAGCAGGAGAAGTGCTTGAACTTGGGAGGCGGAGGTTGCAGTGACCTGAGATTGTGCCATTGCACCCTAGCCTGGGCGCAAGAGTGAGACTTCATCTCAAAAAAAAAAAAAAAAAAAAAAAGGAAAAAAGATACCCAGTACTTGTAAAAAAAAAATGCTTGCTGTAGGAGAAACATCTGTGATTCTGTGATGACCTTAACTTAAGGCTGGGTTAAGATAGAAAGAGTGCTGGAGTTAGGCACAAGTTCTGGTCCCAGCAGCTGGTATATATGATAGTCCAGATATTAACTGATTAGTAGTTCTTAGATGTATGAATTCATCTCATACAATTGTGATATAGCTTGCTTTTATTTTAGTTTTTGGTTCTTATTCATTTATTTATTTTTGTTGGGGACTGAGTCTCGCACTGTCGCCCAGGCTGGAGTCATTAGTGAGATCTCAGCTCACTACAACCTCTGCCTCCTGGGTTCAAGTGATTCTCCTGCCTCAGCCTCCCGAGTAGCAGGGACTATAGGCGCGCACCACCATGCCTGTTTAATTTTTGTATTTTTAGTACAGATGGGGTTTCACCATATTGGCCAGGCTGGTGGTTCTGTCTTATTTTTACAGAATTTTTAAAGGTCAGTTGAGTTTAGAGTTGGAGATTAGGTAGCCACCAGGGGCTTTAATGAGGAGTTACAAAGGTTTTGTTGGTTCTCTTATTGACGAATCCTCTAATGTTACCTGTGTAGTGTTGCCTGTCAGTTCACCTTAGGTGAATCACTTAATATCTGGACTAAGGGAAATGGAGGCAGGTGAATTGTAGGAATATAATTCATTGTTTCTTAATTAGAGATATACTTTAAGTGACTGCGCTCTATTCTAGACTACTGAATCAACAGCACAGGCATTCTTTTTTTTGGTAGATAGTGGTGGTAAATGATTTATTGAAATATAACTTACAGAGGAATATTTCTAAGTCCCAGGTATTCATTTTTGTGTCCTTTGAAAAAACTTGCTGGGTAAAACGGGGGAGCATTTCTTACCCTTCCAAATCATGTAGAACTAAACACTTATATTTCCTTTGCTAAGACTATTCAGTGAAATATTTTCAGTTCCATTTATATTAGAAATCTTACTTTGAATTTAGGGTTTCAGAATATAACTCAAAACTCTGCAATTGTGATAAAGCTTGCTTTTATTTTAGTTTTTGGTTCTGTCTTATTTTTAGAGAATTTTTATGAGGTCAGTTGAGTTTAGAGTTGAGATTGGGTAGCCACCAGGGGGCTCCAATGAGGAGTTGTAAAGGTTTTGTTGGTTCTCTTCCTGGTGAATCCTCTGAATACCAGTGTAATGTTATCTGTTAATTTATTTACAGAGCTAGAATTTAGAATCTAAAAGCAGAAGATCCTGTCAATTTGGATTATGTCCCTGTAGTTTTTCCTTCTTAAAGCATTTTTTTTTTAGATGGAGTTTCGCTCTTGTTGCCCAGGCTGGAGTATAATGGCATGATCTCGGCTCACCACAACTTCTGCCTCTCCTGGGTTCAAGTGATTCTCCTACCTTTGCCTCCTGAGTAGCTGGGATTAAAGGCATGTGCCACCACACCCGGCTAATTTTTTATATTTTTATTAGATACGGGGTTTCTCCATATTGGTCAGGCTGGTCTTGAACTCCTGACCTCAGATGATCCGCCGGCCTGGGCCTCCCAGAGTGCTGGTATTACAGGCATGAGCCACCATGCCTGGCCAGCATTAATTAAGAGAACTTTGGATGTATATAAAAACCTGTTTTAGCAATTAGTTCTCTAGAAAGCTCAGTTTCTCGTTTCATTTCTTTTGATCTTATGCTCTGATTAGCAACCGTACTATAAAACTTTCAATAACAGAAATGATAGAAGATCTGTAGTACTTAATATTTACTCTGTCAAAGCTAGCATGTCAGGGATACCTGAGGGTGTGCTAGACTGTCTAGCATTGAGTGCTGCTTTAAATCAGTTACTTTGCACCTTACCTCACTGCTTAGGTGGCAGGACTAGGGGTTCAGAGTGCCTTTAAATAAAGCTTAAAAGCACTTTTAAGTGTTAGGCTAATTCTAATTTCTTTCTTTTTTTTTTTTTTTTTAATTAAAAACATTTTTTTATGACTAGTCAAAGTGCAGTAGTGAGAAGTGGGGAGAGAGTAGATAGGGAGCTTGATCTGTAACTGTGACCAGTCGAGATTACTCACTACCTTCAGACCAGGCTTTATTCCCTTTATTACAAGCTAAGTTACTGTATCTGTTTGTTTTAAGAGTGATGATGAATTGATTAGTTGCATTGCTTAGAATCTGAAAGGGAAAGAGCCAGCTGGACCTTTTGAGTCTTAAAAGCAACTACTAGGAATGAGGCATTAGTGCTTAGGATGAAAATTTCTCCCCTTTATTACCTGTGTACTATATATTACCATTACTATTTCTAACTTGGGAGACATCTGTGCTTTAAAAATTCCTAATCTGTTATAGATATCTACATTCATTTCATAGAAATCAGATTCCGGAAATCTATATATGTTGTTTGGAAGTTCTTGGTCTCTCTTGGGTAGGCAGAAGAGGAGTATCCATTACACGTTGAGCTACTGTGGATCAGACACTAAATAGAGCAACATGGATAATATGTAAGAAGGGAATTTAAGCTGTTCTCCAGAGCATGGTTTGTGGGAAGAATTTGAGGACATAATATTGTATGTACTATCTCTCCTTATTGCAGGTCGAGCTGTGTTTAGAGTGCATCGAATGGGCCAAATCAGAGAAAAGAACTTTCTTACGCCAAGCTTTGGAGGTATGTTTTACATTAGTACTGATTTCAGGTCTCTAAGCATGAGACAGAGGGGGAATTACCATCATTATCAAAAATATCTTCAGCAACTTTGTAATTACCTAGATACTGAAAGATTATTGATGGTAGTCCCACTTATGAGAATTGCCCTGATTGAAGTTTTGAGACAGATTTGCTACTTGACTCAGAGTAATAAGTAACAACATGGTAAAGTTAGCAGTCATTTGCTGGCCATAATGGGAGACAATACTTGGCTAGAGCTTCTCTTACGCTGAATTTGATGTTATCGTCAGAAATTGCATATTTAACAGTAACAGTTCTGTGACTGTCAATCTTTGATTTCTTTCTGTGGCTTTTTTTTGCCCCCCTTCAATCAGTGCCTTTTGTCTTTCCTAGGCAAGACTGGTGTCTTTGTACTTTGATACCAAGAGGTACCAGGAAGCATTGCATTTGGGTAAGTAAGCTGGTAATAAGTCATCTCAGCTAACTAAATGAATGTATTCTAAACCACCTGGCTACTCTTATTAATTACCTGTTAATAATTTATATTCTACTTCTAGGAAGGATTTAAGGTAGCTTATAGATCTGCATTTGTCATGGGAAAATGTCATTTGAAAGTTTAAAAAACTAGCTAGAGTTAATCTGACAAATTTAGAGGACAAAAGGGTAGTTTTAAGTTTACTTGAATTTAGAGCAGTAAGATTAACTTCATTTTAATAACTGAAATTAAAAAAAAAGTGTATATATTTTGCATATAGTACTCTGTTAAATTTAAGATTTAGGTTTTTAAATTGCAGATGTTTGACTTGCTGTCATATTTACTATATCTGTTTATGTACTTATAAATCTATTGTAAAAATCAAGAAATTAATTGGGTACAAATATATTTGGAAGCTGGAGTGGCCAACTGAAACCTTTCTCCTGTGTATACTGTGCGGCCTTTAAACACCTTGAAATCTTCCCTGCTTGGGGTTTTTTTTTTTTTGGAGGAGGAATCTCACTCTGTTGCCCAGGCTGGAGTGCAGCATTGCGATCTCAGCTCACTGTAACCTCTGCCTCTCAGGTTCAAGCGAGTCTTCTCCTGCCTTAGCCTCCCGAGTAGATGGATGTGCCACCATGCCTGGTTAATTTTTGTATTTTTAGTAGAGATGGAGTTTCAGCATGTTGGCCAAGCTGGTCTCGAACTCCTGACCTCAGGTGATCTGCCCACCTTGGCCTCCCAAAGTGTTAGGATTACAGGCGTGAAACACCATGTCTGGCTGCTGCTTGCTTTTTATGAATGGGTAGATCTGGACTAGTTTTTTCCAAACAAAAGATCATGTCTTTTATGATTGTAGGTTGAAAAGTTTCCAATATTCTGTTTTTGGACTGCAAAAATGGCACTTTCATATGGTTCAAATAGTAGCATTTAAAAAATAACTTTAATAAGATACAGTTCACTTACCATAAAATTCACATTTAAAGTGTATAATTCAGTGATTTTTAGTATATTCACTAAGTTGTACAACCATCACCACTACTTAAACTTCAGAACATTTTCAGCTGGGCATGGTGGCTCACGCCTGTAATCCCAGCACTTTGGGAGACCAAGGTGGGTGGATTGCCTGAACTCAGGAGTTCAAGACCAGCCTGGGCAACATGGTGAAATGCCGTCTCTACTAAAGATACAAAAAATTAGCGGGACGTGGTGGTGTGCACCTGTAATCCCATTTACTTGGGAGGCTGAGGCAGAAGAATCATTTGAACCTAGGAGGTGGAGGTTGCAGTGAGCCAAGATTGTGGCACTGCGCTCCAGCCTGGGCAACAGAGCAAGACCCTCTCCAAAAAAAGAAAAAAATTTCAGAACTTTTTTCTTTTTCTTTGAGAGGGAGTCTTCCTCTGTTGTCCAGGCTGGAGTGCAGTGGTACGACGTTGACTCACTGCAATTTCTGCCTCCTGGGTTCGAGCTATTCTCCTGCCTCAGCTGCCTGGGTAGCTGAGATTACAGGCGCCTGCTACCATGCCTGGCTAGTTTTTGTATTTTTTAGTAGAGATGGGGTTTCACCATGTTGGTCAGACTGGCCTCGAACTCCTGACCTCAAATGATCTGCCTGCTTTGGCCTCCCAAAGTGCTGGGATTACAGGTGTGAGCCACCGTGCCTGGCCTCAGAAGATTTTTATCACTCCAGAAAGAAACTTCCTATCCATTAGCAGCCCTGGGCAATTATTAAGGTATTTGTATCTTTGTAGATTTGTCTATTCTGGGTATTTCTTATAAATGAAATAATACAGTATTTGTTTTTCTGTGATTCGCTTCTTTTACATAGCATTATGTTTTCAGGGTTTATGTTGTAGCATGTGTCAGTACTTCATTCCTTTTTATTGCTGAATAATAGTCCGTTGTAAGGATATATCACATGTTTATCCATTCATCAGTTGATGGACATTTGGGTTGTTTCCACGTTTTAGCTCTTATGAATACTGCTATAAACAGGTTTTATGTGGACATGTTCTTCCGGGTATATACCTAGAAGTGGAATTACTGTGTCATATGGTAACTGATTAACTTTTTGAGGAGCTGCTAAGCTGTTTTCCAAAGTGGCTGCACCATTTTACATTCTCTCTAACATTGTATGGGGCTTCTAGTTTTTCCATATCTTCATCAACACTTGTTACTATCTTTTTTAGTTTAGCCATTCTAAGTAGTACTTCATTATGTTTTTGTTTTGCATTTCCCTAATGATGATATTGAGCATATTTTCTTTTTTTTTCTTTATTTTATTTTTTTGAGGCAACTTCTTATTCTGTTGCCCAGGCTGAAGTGCAGGGGCATGATTCAGCTCACTGCAGCTTCTGCCTCCCAGATTCTCCTGCCTTAGCCTCCCAAGTAGCTGGGATTACAGGCATGTGCCACCATGCCTGGCTAATTTTTGCATTCTTAGTAGAGATAGAGTTTCACCATCTTGGCCAGGCTGGTCTTGAACTCTTGACCTCATGATCTGCCTGACTTGGACTTCCAAAGTGATGGGATTATAGGCATGAACCACTGTGCTTGGCCCTTTTTTTTTTTTTTTTTCTTGAGACAGGCTTGCTCTGTCTCCCAGGCTGGAGTACAGTGTCACGATCTCAGCTCACTGCAACCTCCACCTCCCATGTTCAAGTGATTCTCCTGCCTCAGCCTCCCAAGTAGCTGAGATTTTAGGCATGCACCACCATGCCCAGCTAATTTTTGTATTTTTAGTAGAGACAGGGTTTCACCATGTTAGCCAGGCTGGTGTTGAACTCCCAGTCTCAGGTGATGCGCCCACCTTGGTCTCCCAAAGTGCTGGGATTACAGGCTTGAGCCACTGTGCCTGGCCTTCTTTATATGTATGTCTTTGGATAAATATTCATATCCTTTGCTTATTTTATTTTTTATTATTTTTATTTTTTAAAGGCTAGTCAAATGAAGCAGTGGGAGTAGAGAAGGAACAAAGAAATCTGTAACTGGTTGTGATCAATTAGTTGTAAACACCACTGCACTCGGACCAGCCCCTTTGCTTATTTTTTGATTGAGTTATTTTTGTTTTTATTTTTTAGAAACAGGGTCTTTGTCACCCAGGCTGGATGGAGTACAGTGGTGCAATTGTAGCTCACGGCAGCCTGGCAATTCTGGGATCCAGCAATCCTTCTGTCCCAGTCTCCTGAGTAGCTAGGACTACAGGCGTGTACCAACATACCCTCTGTTTTTATTTTTTTATTCTGAAGTTCTTTTTTTTTTTTTTTAAGTTTATTTTTACTTCAGGGGTACATGTGCAGGTTTGTTATATAGGTAAACTTGTGTCGTGGAGTTTGTTGTTCAGATTATTTTGTCACCCAGGTGTTAAGCCTAGTACCCATTAGTTATTTTTCTTGATCATCTCCCTCCTCCCACCCTCTGAGAGGCCCTAGTGTGTGGTGTTCCCCTCTATGTGTTTATGTATTCTCATCATTTAGCTCCCACTTATAAGTGAGAGCATGCAGTATTTGGTTTTCTGTTCCTGCTTTATTTTGCTAAGGATAATGGCCTCCAGCTCCATTCATGTTCCTGCAGAGGACATGATCTTGTTCTTTTTTACGGCTGCATTGTATTCTATAGTGTATATGTACCGAATTTTCTTTATCCAGTCTGCTGTTGATGGGCATTTAGGTTTGTTTTTTATTCTGGATAAAAGTCTCTTACCAGATACATGATTTGCAATTTTTTTTCTTTTGTTCTGTGGGTTGTTTTTTCACTTTCTTGATGGTGTCCTTTGAAGTACATTTTAATTTTGGTGAAGTTCTGTTACCTGTTTTTTGTTATTGTTGCTTATGCTTTTGGTGTTATGTCTAAGAAACCATTGCCAAATCCAAAGCTACAGGGATTTGTTTCTGTTTTCTTCTAGAGGTTTTATAGGTTTCACTCTTAAATTTAGGTCTTTGATCCATTTTGAGTCAATTTATATATATGGTGTAAGTCTGTTTGAATTCGATATTCTAGTTTGAGATGGAGGAGTCAGGGAAGAAGGTGTGTTTGGAGAACATTGGTATGTCCAGAACTCTACTTCCTCCATCAGCCTGGGTGCCTGGGGTTCTTATATAGCCTTGTGATTGCTGGAGAAGAAGAGAGCGAGATCAAGTGCCTTTCTGAACTGGATAACTAGATTTAGCATTTTATAGGTAGGGATTCCCACTGTTTTTAAATCTTAAGAGTAAGCTCATAGGACTCATGGCTCTAATGTTGTCCTTAGGAAGCAGAAAACTTCAGAGGTGTGTTTTTCTCTTGAAAGATAGCATATTAGTGGAAAATTTAATTATTGCATGGGTTCTAGAGGTAATGTTTTTTGAGTTTAGGCATTTTTTTTTTTTAATCCTGAGTGTTATGAGGGTGGGGGAGTGAGATGTTACAGTGTTTAGATATTAAGCTGATGGCCAGTAAAGGAGAATATATCTTTTCCTTCTTCAGGTTCTCAGCTGCTGCGGGAGTTGAAAAAGATGGATGACAAAGCCCTTTTGGTGGAAGTACAGCTTTTAGAAAGCAAAACGTACCATGCCCTGAGCAACCTGCCGAAAGCCCGAGCTGCCTTAACCTCTGCTCGAACCACAGCAAATGCCATCTACTGCCCCCCTAAATTGCAGGCCACCTTGGACATGCAGTCAGGTAACAGACGTAGCTATTCCTGGGATGTGTTTTCTTAAAGCTCATCTACCTTATAGGTAGAAGGAATGGGGGTTGGAGCTGGAGAATAAAGCTGGCTGATTTGGCTCTAGCTTCTTCAGAGAACCACTTAGAAAGCTACTGTTCTAACTAGCTGCTCCCCTCCAGTTAACTGCCTAAAAGGTATTAAGAACATACCTATCACTGCTTGACCAGGCAATCTGACTGTTAGAACCAAACTCCAGAGAGGTTGTACTTAGAAGACTGCCTTACCTTTCCTCTTAGCCACTTACTCAGAATAGCAGCATTTTCATTTAGGCTTACCCTAAGTCTGTTGACTCTTGGAAATCTTTGTACAATTGGTTGACTTTGACAAAGGGCCTCAAATCAGGACTGAGGAATGATAACCCAGTTTCAGCTGAGTATTGTATGTAGTTTCTGATGGAGCGTGTGAATGTGGGTCTAGGAAGCCATGAATTGGCAGGTGGAATACTTTCTTTTGTATTTAATTTTTTTACTGGAGGCATCAGTATTGAAGGAATGTTGGAATTGGAGGTGGAGGACTAGTTTAAGTGCTTGTGTTACCTCTCATCTGTAAAAGATAATGCCTACTCAACTTGTTTGTCAGGGTTGTAGTGATCTAGGATCAGGCTTTCTTAGGTTGACATTTTGTTTTGCTGCTTTCTAGGTATGTGATGTCATGAAGGGTAAACATGGCCTTTTCCTGTGGTACCAAAAGATAGCAGGACTGGAATGGTGGTGACTTGGGGCAAGTTACTTAATTTACGTTTAGCTCATCTGTAAAATGGTAATAATTGGCACATGATAGACTCTCATTAATGTTTGTGTTGAATGAGTGAGAGTCTACTTTTTGGTTTTAGTTTTTGCCTTTTTTTTGAGACGGGGTCTCACTCTGTTGCCCAGGTCGTAGCACAGTGGTGCAATCACAGCTTACCACAGCCTCAGCTTCCCAGGCTCAAGTGATCCTCCCAACTTAGTCTCCTTAGTTGCTGGGGATTATAGGAGCACAACAAGCTAACTTTTTGTATATTGTATATTTTGTAGGGATGGGGTTTCGCCATGTTGCCCAGACTGGTCTGGGCTCAAGCAACCTTCCCACCTTGGCCTCTCAAAGTGCTGGGATTATAGGCATGAGCCACCATGCCCAACTTTTGTTTCTGTTTTCTGGTTTTTTTCTGGGTTTCACCATATTGACCAGGATGGTCTCGATCTCTTGACCTCGTGATCAACCCGCCTCGGCCTCCCAAAGTGCTGGGATTACAGGCTTGAGCCACCGCGCCCGGCCCCCGTTTTTGTTTTTAACAACACACTTCATATGCCCGCCATGACACTCAGAGTGCTGATACGGCCCCTGTTAACTGATGTGTTTGGCACCAGTTCTTGGGCCTTATTTTATCTTTTTTTTTTTCCATACTTATTTTTGAGTCTGGCCTGTTCTCCCTCTATACTGGGAAATGTGGAAAAATGGAGATGTGTCTCATTTAGTTTAGCAGCATTAATAGTTTGCTGGGTTGTTGAAGGGGCTTTCCTTGGCTGCAGAGAAGAGGAGATATTCCTTGAGGCCTCTGTACTTAACAGTAGTAGAAAAAGATCTGATTCCCATCGACCCAAGGTGGGAGGTTTTTTGGGTAGGCTGAAAGAAGATATCACTCAATAAATGGTGAAGTCAGGAGGTTCCAGCTGACATTGAGTTCTTGGGATCGTGTGTCAGTAGTGTCATCCTTTGACTCTAGTATGCTAAATACTTTCTACGTGTATCTTGATGTGAAAGATGTTGGGGACGTACTTGTGGTAAACGAATGGAGCTGAGGACTGTAACTTCTTAAAGGGCTGGGGCAGAGTTAGAGCTAATATACACAAATACAGAATTTTAGGGTTTAGATGCCTCCCAAGCTTGGAAAGAACTAATTTTTACGTTATCCCAAGTGATAGCATAGGTTGGCAGTAATAGCAGGTGCAATCAAAGTTAAGCTCATTGGGAGCAACTCAACTTCGAAGCAGTAGAGAATTGGTTAGGACAACTAGGGTATATCAGTCTGAAGAAATACTGCTTAGCTATGTGTAGTTAAATTCATGGATTTGGCATTGTGTGAGAGCTGTACACTGAGTGCATTTAGGCTAAAGCACATCCATAAATGACAAATATTTGAAATCAAAATATAAGACGTTGGATTCCCTCTCCCCCCCATGAGAGCTGCATAAATATAAAACTGTCAAGCTTAGAAAAGCTATCTTAAAGTAGTTAGTATTATTAAAACAGGTCATTCAGGCCATCTAGAGATATTAGTGCCAACTCCCTGACCTGTGAATGTGATGTCATGAAGGGTAAACATGGCCTTTTCCTGTGGCACCAAAAGATAGCAGGACTGGAATGGTGGTGAGAAGCATGGGAGAAAGATGGTACAGTATGTGTTTTCAGGTCCCTTTTAAGTCTCTAATTCCTTTGGGAATTTATATTTGGCAATATGGCAATATGACATTGAGCTGGGAGGTCAGAGACCTGGATTCTCATCTTCTAATCTCAGCCCTCACATAGCTGGCAATGACAACTTTGGGCAGGTTCTTTCTTTTTATTCTTTTTTGGAGGTGCTCTCACTTTTTCACCCATGCTGGAGTGCATTTTCACTATCACAGCTCACTGTAGCCTTAACCTCCCAGGCTCAGGTGACCTTCCTACCTCAGCCTCACAAGTAAGTGGCTGGGACTACGGACATGCACCACCACGCCTGGCTAATTTTTTGTAGTGATGCGGTTTCACCATGTTGCCCGGTTGTGGTCTTGAACCCCTAGCTTCAGGTGATCTGCCTGCCTTGGCCTCCCAAGGTGTTGAGATTACAGATGTGAACTACTCTGCCTGGCAGGGCGGGTTCTTTATCCTTTCCTGACCTCATCAGTAAGTTAATGGAGTTGGGGTAGATATTTTTTTCTTTTTTCTTTTCTTTTTTGAGACAATGTCTCACTCTGTCGCCTAGGCTGGAGTGCAGTGATGTGATCTTGACTCACTGCAACCTCCACCTCCCGGATTCAAGTGAGTCTCCTGCCTCAGTCACCTGAGTAGCTGGGATTACAGGCATGTGCCACCAAACCCGGCTAATTTTTATATTTTTAGTAGATATGGGGTTTTGCTCTGTGGGCCAGGCTGGTCTCGAACTCCTGACCTTAAGTGTTCTGGCTGCCTTGGCCTGCCAAAGTGCTGGGATTACAGATGTGAGCCATTGTGTCTGGCCTCTCTTTTTTTTTCTTTTTTTTTTTTTTGAGATGGAATCTCACTCTGTCACCCAGTTTGGAGTGTAGTGGTGTGATCTCGGCTCACTGCAATCTCCACTTCCCGGGTTCAAGCGATTCTCCTGCCTTAGCCTCCTGAGTAGCTGGGATTACAGGTACCCACCACCATATCCGGCTCGTTTTGTATTTTTAATAGAGATGGGGTTTTACCATGTTCACCATGTTGGCCAGGCTGGTCTTGAAATCCTAACCTCAGATGATCCTCCTGCCTTGGCCTCTCAAAATATTGGGATTACAGGTGTAAGCCACTGTGCCTGGCCATTTTTTTTTTTTTTTTTAAAAGATGGGGTTTCACCATATTGGTCAGGCTGGTCTTGAACTTCTGACCTCAGGTTATCCACCCGCCTCAGCCTCCCAAAATGCTGGGATTACCGGCGTGAGACACCGAGCCCGGCCATTTTTTTTTTTTTTTTTTAGCAGACAAGGCTGGACGGGCATGGTAACTCACTCCTGAAATCTTGGCACTTTGGGAGGCTGAGAGAAGCAGATCACTTGAGGTCAGGAGTTCAGAACTAGCCTGGCAAACATGGTGAAACTTGTCTCTACTAAAAATACAAAAAATTAGCCGAGTGTGGTGGTGGGTGCCCATAATGTCAGCTACTCAGTAGGCTGAGGCAGGAAAATTGCTTGAATCCAGGAGGTGGAGGTTGCGGGATCTATCAAGCCACTGCACTCCAGAGCGAGACTCTGTCTCAAAAAAACAAAAGGAGACAAGGTCTCACTATGTTACTTAGGCTCAAACTCTTTTAAAAAAAAAAAAAAAGAGATGGGGTCTTACTATGTTACTCAGGCTCGTTTTGAATTCTTGGGCTCATTTGATCCTCCCGTCTCAGCCTCCCAAAGTGCTGGGATTACAGGTGTGAACCACTGTGCCCGGCCAGGGAGATTTCTAAGGTGCCTCCCAGCTCTGATCTTTTATGGCTCTATTATTTTATATGGTTCTTATTCCTTTCTTTTCAATGCCCAGGTATTATCCATGCAGCAGAAGAGAAGGACTGGAAAACTGCGTACTCGTACTTCTATGAGGCATTTGAGGGTTATGACTCCATTGACAGCCCCAAGGCCATCACATCTCTGAAGTACATGTTGCTGTGCAAAATCATGCTCAACACGTAGGTGCACCTTAACTCTGGAATACAAGAACTCAGATCCGTCAACAAGTCTGTCTGTCATGGCAGAGATGGCCTAAGCAGGGAGTGTGGCCAGTTACAGAAACAGCAGCAGCTGCAGCCTCTAGGGCTGGCTCAGGTAGAACAGGAGGATCAAAGGTGTTCCAGAAAACTTTCACTTGCTAGTCTTTCAGAATCAGGAATACATTTTAGAAATCTTCTCAGCTCCTCTTGGAGAATTCTGCTCATTGTTTAAATATTCTGTCCTCATAGGTGTACAGCACAGGACAGAGGTTCAGGAAACAGCTTATAGATCAGCCAGTACCAGCAAACTGAGCCACCCAGAATGAGGAAGGAAGGGTTAAGGAGAGGTTTGAAAAAGTGGACAACAGGGGCCGGGCGTGGTGGCTCATGCCTCTAATCCAGGCACTTTGGAGGCCAAGGCGGGCGGATCACCTGAGGTCGGGAGTTCAAGACCAGCCTGACCAACATGGTGAGACCCCATCTTAAAAAAGACAAAAAAAAATTTTAAAAAGGAAAAAAAGAAGTAAAAATAATAGAAAAAAAAAGTGGACAACAAAAGTATGACAGACCTTCTTATAAAGGAGCCTATAGAATTATTCAGTTTTTGGGGGAATAAATGAAGTATTAACTAAGAACTCTTTTTTTTTTATCTTTGGATTACATAGGGGCTATGTTTTAATAAAACCTATTACACTGGGATTTGACTTAAACTTATAGCTGTGCTTTTGGTAGGTTTAGTTCAGTTTTCTAACATTAGAGTTTTTCTTTCTTTTTTTTTTTTCTTGAGACAGAGTCTCACTCTGTCTCCCAGGTTGGATACAGTGGTATGATCTTGGCTCACTGCAACCTCCGCCTCTCGGGTTCAAGCAATTCTCTTGCCTCAGCCTTCTGAGTAGCTGGGATTACAGGTGCACACCACCACGCCTGGCTAATTTTTGTATTTTTAGTAGAGACGGGGTTTCACCATGTTGGTCAGGCTGGTCTCGAACTCCTGATCTCATGATCTGCCCGCCTCAGCCTCCCAGAGTGCTGGGATTATAGGCATGAGCCACTGAGCCTGGCCAACATTGGAGTTTTTCTGTTTTTCAGGCTGAGATTCAGTCCAGAGTGGAGAAAACCTAACTTTTGCAATGTGATGTGCATATGGGTTTAGGGTTGGGCTGATTATCTGTGTGGGCAGAGTCTTTATTACAATGGAATTCTGTTAAAAAGAGATTTGCCTAAACCTACCTTTAGAAGCATAACATCCTCTAGCAATTGACCAAGTATATCTTTTTTTCTAGCCCAGAAGATGTCCAGGCTTTGGTGAGCGGGAAGCTTGCACTTCGGTATGCAGGGAGGCAGGTAGGGACTACCTTGATTGCAGTTCTGCTCACTCTGAGACCAGCATGTTTTTATAGTCATGAAAACATGGCTATAAAACATGAAAACAGTGCTCTTCGGGTCTTCATACTGCTCTCTTCCTTCTCCCCCACCCACTTTCTGCCCTTAAGCCCATTCAATGTGTTTCCTAGACTGTTAAATTCTTGGTCTGGAAAGTCAGTGTTTGGTGCTCTTACGGGCATCAGGTGGTTTGAGGGACTTAGGGAACTGAACTGTAGCATTTGCAGTAAGTTAGTTTGCATTTGGCTTCCACCAGAAAATTTATCCACCACGAGTCTGACTTGTGAATTTAACATATGCAGAGTATGAAATCGTAGATTCTCCAGGTCAGGAGCCTGGTAAGGCCTGGTGCATATGTGCTTTAGGGAGGTCTGATTGCTTGGTACAGAAACTAGGTTTTGAGATTTACTTTTGTGCTTCTCAGAGCAGTACCTTTCTACTCATGCTTTGAATTTTAGGTGTGGTGGAAAAGAGGTCTTTTTTTCGTGTTACCTTAATGCCCATGTAATGCTGAGTGTGACTTCTGAGAGCAGACAGTTATGATCTATGCAAAGATGATGTCTTGGATGTCTGGACTTCTCCTCTTTGTATTTTGCTTATCACTAGTAAAGTAAAAGTATTCTTTCTGGATTTCAACTGCCATTATCTGTAAACACAGGTTAATTGGCTGTCTATATAATCTCACAATATCTCTGGAGGAATGGCTACACAGATGATTTCGTCCTTCTCTATAAGTGGGCTTAATTGGCTCTTTTCTTTTCTTTTTTTTGAGATGGAGTCTTGTTCTTTCATCCAGGTTGGAGTGCAGTGGCATGGTGATCTCAGCTCACTGCAACTTCCTCCTCCCAGTTAGAAGTGATTCTCCTGCCTCAGCCTCCTGAGTAGCTGGGATTACAGGCATCCGCCACCATGCCCAGCTAATTTCTTTATTTTTAATCCAGATGGGGTTTTGCCATGTTGGCCAGGATGCTCTCAAACTCCTGACCTCAAGTGATCCACCCACCTAAGCCTTGCAAAGTGCTAAGATTACAGGCATGAGCCACCATGCCTGGTCCCTAATTGGCTTTTTATCAGCAAAAGTTTCAGGTCAGCTCCTGATTTTGACCTCAAGCGTACTGGTTATTACTATAGTGGAAAATGCATGGCCAGGTACGGTGGCTCACACCTACAATCCAATCCCAGCACTTGTTGGAGGCTAAGGTGGGCGGATCACTTGAGGTCAAGAGTTTGAGACCAGCCTGGCCAACATGGCAAAACCCCATATCTACTAAAAATACAAAAAATTAGCTGGGTGTGGTAGTGGGTGCCTGTAATCCCAGCTACTCAGGAAGCTGAGGCAAGAGAATCATTTAAAACTGGGAGGTAGAGGTTGCAGTGATCCAAGATAGTGCCACTGCACTCTAAGCTGAGCAACAGAGTGAGATTCAGTCTCAAAAAAAAAAAAGATGCGGTACTCACTCTCACTATAACTAGAGCTGAGGAGACCGGCTCAGAGACATCAGGTGTCTAAGACAAGGTCAGGGAGCTAAGCAGTGGTGGAGCTAGACTTTGAACTAGGGTTATTGGCTCTACGTTCCAGGTTTTTCTCATTTGGACACGTTTTTCTGTCTATAGGACAAATGCTACAGACAAACTACACTAATGCCTTGCACCCTTTAGTCTACTGTGTAAGACACACCTGCAACCTCATCAGAGAACACGAACCAGAAAAGAAAGCAAAAAAAAAAGACACACCGTCCTTGTTCAAGCGTGTAGGCTGCTACAAGAGCAGCTTCTCTTAGACTCTTCCACCCTGATGTTAGCTTTTAAGCAGGATTTGGGCTGATCTTCCAGAAAGATGAATGTTGTACATTTTTTGCTGAGTGGAGACTTGATGGCTTGGTCAGGTGCCTTTTCTAACCAGGTTAGAAGTTGTTCTCGACTATTGATTATACCTTCATCACTCCGTGGGGTCTTAACATTTGGTGTAATATGTTAATCCCTCAATTTTGATACCCCAACCTTTTTTTTTCTTTTCTTTTTTTGAGACAGTCTCCTTCTATCACTCAGGCTGGAGTGCAGTTGCACGATCTCGGCTCACTGCAACCTCTGCCTCCTGGGTATAAGCAATTCTCCTGCCTCAGCCTCCCAAGTAGCTGGGATTACAGGTGCCTGCCACCAAGCCCGACTATGTAGTGAGGGGGATTTCACCATGTTGGCCAGGCTGGTCTTGAACTCCTGACCTCAGGTGATCCACTCACTTCGGTCTCCCAAAGTGGTAGGATTACAGGTGTGAGCCACCGTGCCTGGCCTTGATGCCTCAGCCTTAATGAGACAGACCTTGTTCAGTGCCTTGTACCAAACCTAGCAGAATGAATATTGATAAAGCACATATATAATAGGGCCTAAGGGCAGGAAAAAGTTTGAGTGGGTGTGATAATAATGAGTCTTGGGGGAAGGGAGAGGGAATCACAGTTCTGTCATTTTTCGTTTTAGCTTGTCATCTCTAGAGAATGCTGTATTAGGGTCGGTCTGTTGGAAAACTTCTATTTCCTAGTATTCTTAAGTCATTTCAGGTTTCAAAGTGAAACAGGTAGGCATATAGTGTATTCAGTACTTCCAGCTCTTCTTCCCAGGTCTCTGAAGAATGATAGTGGGGCGGGTTCTTCCTTATAGCAAAAGTTGTATCGACACAGCATACTGCTTATGAGACTTGGGTGAATGTTAGTGTCCAGCATAGATTGCTTTTATGATTTGTCTCTTTATTCCCAGACAGAAGCATTAAAATGCGTGGCTCAGGCTAGCAAGAACAGATCACTGGCAGATTTTGAAAAGGTGAGCATGATAATGGGTTCGTAGGGAATGTGGGTAGAAGAGAGGGATGTTTAAGTACTTCAAAACACACTTTAAAAAATAATTATAGTTTCACAAGAAGTTGCAAAGTGATCCATGTATGCTTCATCTACGACAGTGTTAAAACCAGGAAATAGTTAAGCACTTTTTTGTACAATGAAACTTGTTGAGTTGATATAAATTATATATTATTTATACATAATACCTTTCTGTTTCAAAAGTTCTTTCTGTCCTTTTTTCACTTTGATTTTTCACAACACACCTAATATCTGCATTTTGTGGTCAAGGGAACTGGGATTCAGGAGGACACCCAAAGTCACACAGCATAGTGTAAGAGTTTGACTCTAGGCCTAGTGCTTGTTCCACATAGCAGAGTTGTAGGTATTCCTTCAGCTCCAGAAATGCCAGGTCTGCTGCTCCTCTGGACAAAAGAGTGCGTACCTGGACCCAAAGAAACGTCCTCAGGATGATGTTCTAGGCTTTCTTTAACCCTGGAGAAAAGCCTGTCTGGGCATTAGGCTGAGAATTGTATATTCTTTTCTGAACCTCTCTCCTCTTAGTCTAAGGACCAACTTAAAAACAAAACCATCCGGGTGTGATGGCTCATGCCTGGAATCCCAGCACTTTGGGAGGCCGAGGCGGATAGATCATGAGGTCAGGAGTTCGAGACCAGCCTGACTAACATGGTGAAACCCCATCTGTACTAAAAATACAAAAATTAGCTAGGCGTGATGGCGTGCACCTGTAATCCTAGCTACTCAGGAGGCTGAGGCAGGAGGATTGCTTGAACCCAGGGAGCGGAGATTGCAGTGAGCTGAGATCACACCATTGCACTCCAGCCTGGGCGACAGAGTGAGACTCCATCTCAAAAAAATCAAAAAGCGAAACCTAGATTCAGAAAGAAAACCTTAGTGTGGATGGACACTAGACCATGTGACTTTGACTGTCCTTAAGATTCACCATTGTCCTGGAGGGCTTGTCAATTCCTGTTGTTGCCTTTTACTTGGCATGATTTGCCTGCTTCCCTTAACACCTTGTAGCACAGCTGCAATGAGGCTGGGATGTTGAGACCATTCCTGATGGTCTGTAAATCACACATATGAGTAAATGGTCTAGATCATTTTATCCCAATGTTTGGGATGTTTGATGGAACATTTTTATTCCAAGTAGTTCCATGGAAGAAGGATTCTGTGATTAGATACTTGGGAAATCCTAGGGCTAAATAAAATCCTAGGGCTAATAATAATTAAAACACCTAATTTTGCTGAGTAATTGCAGAGCTATAGTATACTGATGGTCTTCATAGAACTCCTAAGAGCTAGTTGTAGAATTCAGCATTTCCTGTTGTTTAACTTCAATAATCTTTTTCCCCGGCAATGGAGACCCTATTTGTTCTGTAGAATACATTCTGAGAAATGCTTGTGTAGTTAATTTGGTTCATGAACTGAGTTGCTTTTGGGGCTTACATGGTTTGAGCTGCTGACCTGAAGCTTGCAGGCAGAAAGATGGTGCCTAGGATGACTCCACCTTTTAGTTCTATTTTGTATTTTTTTTTCCTTTTAAGACTATCATAAAATAGCATTTTACAAAATTAATTATTTTTAGAGATGGAGGCTCTCTCTTTTGCCCAGGCAGGACTTGAATTCTTGGACTCCAGGTGCACACTACCATGCTAAGTTTACCTTTTAGTTCTTGACATTCCATTTCTTCTGCTTTCTATCATGCATCTCCCCACATGTCCCCTAACTTCATTCAACCATGTAGCTATAAGGGCCACCAGACTACCTAGGAAGCTAGGAAGTAGCATGACTTCCAAGTGATTCTCTGTGCCAATCTCTGTGACTGGTTCTTTTGGCAGGCTCTGACAGATTACCGGGCAGAGCTCCGGGATGACCCAATCATCAGCACACACTTGGCCAAGTTGTATGATAACTTACTGGAACAGAATCTGATCCGAGTTATTGAGCCTTTTTCCAGAGTACAGGTGAGAGCCCTCTGGGGACTCCATTTCTGACCAGGCATTCTCAATGTAGATACTTCCCTTCCACACATGTACAGAATGGGAACTCACTTCTAGGGGTGTCCCTGGTGGTCAAGAAGCCACAAGGAGTTTGGGCCTCTGTTGATAGAATGAACAAGAATCGAGGAGAGAGATGCTGTGGGTAGAGGCATGTGAGATTGCCCCTGTACATGTTCTGAGCAGTTTCCTCCTCACTTTTAGTCACCGTATGTGTGGCACATGTTTTTTGTATTTGGGTGTGGGACAGGAATCTGTTTATTGTGTGTAGCAGTGAAGGGCAGGCAGATGGGCAGAGCACAAGAGACTTAAGCACGGCCATGGAGGGTCTCGTCGTACAGAGACAACATTAGAATTTTGAGAAATATAGCAGTTCTCCCCCTATTCCCTCCCTTTTCTTATTTGAGGCAAAAGTAAAACTTTCAGTGTTGGTGTCTCTTTGCCTTTCCTTTTAGATAGAACACATATCTAGTCTCATCAAACTTTCCAAGGTAAGGAGTCTTAAGGCCATCTGGGGGGAGGAATGGGAAGGGGTGCTGAGGAGGGGCGGCACATGCACCTGATTGGCCTCATTGGAAAGCTCCCCAGCTTCTCAGTGGGGAATGGGCAGTGTGGGCTAAAGCGAGAGTTGCATTGTTGCTATTTTATTTTCAGTCCATTTGGCCTCAGACCCCTCCAACAAAGCTTTCGTGTCAAGGTGATCTCTGTCTAGTGGATACTGGTCCCTTTAATCATGTGCTTTGATTTTAGGCCGACGTGGAAAGGAAATTATCACAGATGATTCTTGACAAGAAATTTCATGGTGAGTAACAGTCACACAGGCAAGGGGGCTGGTGGTGGTGGTGATGAGATGGTTGAAGAAGTTTATTTTCAAAGATGTTCTGTTTGTTTCCCCTGATGGTTCACCCTGGATCCTGGGCCCTCTTCCCTGTGATGAGAATGTGTGTGTGATAAGCATGTGTACATGGAATAGGGAGATGAATTCTATTGCTTTTCTCTTCTGGAGAAAGTGAGTCAAGTAGGGATTGGACTGCTTCACAAATGCTTTTGTGTCTAACCTTATCTTTTACCTGGGTTGCCCTTGTGTTTCTTGCAGGGATTTTGGACCAGGGGGAGGGTGTCCTGATTATTTTTGATGAACCCCCAGTAGATAAAACTTATGAAGCTGCTCTGGAAACAATTCAGAACATGAGTAAAGTAGTGGATTCCCTTTACAACAAAGCCAAGAAACTGACATAGGTGAGTGCTGGCTTCAGGACCCCAGGGCTGGGCAGCTGTGTCTTCTGCGTGTCGAGACTGAAAACCTCCTCCTGGTGTCCTCATGGCTTCCTGATTGACACTGCTCTGTCTTCTCTTGCAGAGTTGGATCTGTAGCGGTCCTTTGGAGAGTGTGTGTGGCGGGAGAGTGAAACCTTGGGGGAAAATGCTAGGAGATTTCTTTTTTCTTTTTGTTCTACTTTTCGCTCGGAAAGTTTTTAAATCCTCATTTGGTGCATCTGTACTCCAGCCAATAGGTGTGCCAGTTTTCATGTAATCTTTACTGGCCCAACTTGGGAGTGGGGAAATTGCTTAAAAAAAAAAGAAAAAGAAAAAAAAAAGATTATTCTAAATAAAAGGAAAAAGGCTTACACTACCTAAAGCTGTGCTCTCTGCCTCCTGGGAGAGGGCCGCAAAGCCAGGCACCCCGCCAACCACTGAGGGGTCCTAATCCACCTGCTGGGCGTCACCTCTCCTCCTCCTCAGAATTGGGTGTTTGCTGACCATCAAAAGCAATGACTTTTTATTCTGTTTGTACTGAACCAAAACAAACAACTGTGTATAGACTGCTATTTTCTTTTTTATTTGAAATGAGGTGTTCTGGTGTTCTTTTCCCTGCCATACGGCCTGTCCACCCTTCCCTCCCCCACATTGGCTCCAGCAGAGTAGCTGAAGGTCCTGCCGCCGCCGCCACCACCACCACCACCACCACCACTGCAGCAGCAACAGCAGCAGCAGCAGCGCCTGCACAGCTCCACTCTGACCTGTGAAGGAATGGGGATGAGGCCAGGAGCTACTAGTGTCTACCACGGCCACACAGGGAGCAGTGTGGGCCCTTAGCCCCCAAGGGGCCTGCTGTGCATGTGGCTTTTTATTTTTTCACACAGTAAACTAGATTAGTCGTCAGTGTTTTACTTGCCCCTCTCTTCTCCTCTGTGTTCCTCTCCTCCCCTCTCTTCTTTGCTCTCTCTCTTCTCTTTCCTCTCAACCAGGAGACCGTCACATCTCACTGCCTTCCTCCTCTCCCCTCCAGAGGAGTCAGGCTGTCTGAAATCCATGAGCTTCTCTCCCTCTCCCACTCCTCCTCTCCTGCTTTCAGACGGATTTATTCCTTTTTTAAACAGTGAACATCGGAAATGAGACTGTGGGGTGTGGTTTTCTTCTTTCTTTCTTTTAATTTTCTTTGTTGGGTTTTTGAGCAACCTCATGTCCCCTTCCCAGGGAGCTTCTTTATTTACCTCTTAGAACTTGAGTGGATGGGCAGTAGAGCACCGTGTGTCAGCATGCTTTGTTTTCTGACGAGATTTCACCGCGAGGTTTTAATGCCATTTGGGTAGGTGAGCTTCTGCACCTCTGTTGTGCTGAACTGTGTTTTCTTCTGTCATCTCCTGTTTGTGTTTTTTCTCTTTTCCTCTCCCCCTCTTCCTGCCTCCTTGCTGCTGGCCTCTTTTTCTCTTTCTTTACCTTCCTTGGATTATCCTTCCAGGTTTTCGTAATAAATTTATATTTTGTAAAAGGATTTTGTTGTACCAGGTTTTGCATCCTCGCTGAATCTGACTGGCTTTTATTTTCCTCTCCAAAATCAGGTTTTTGTTTTCAACATCTCTCCCCATTATGTCCAGTCACTGTTTGGTTTTGGCACCATCAATATCAAATGTACAAACGGTTCTTGCTAACCAACACCAGGTATATCTGATGTTCAGATGAGTTCCAATAAAAATAATTTTTTTTTCAAAAGGTGTCTTTTCTTGAGTGCTGGAGGGCTTCCAGGCAAGCCCAGACAGCTCTGTGTAGCCTCACAGTAGTCTAGCTCTCGTCTGGCCAAAGCTGTTATCTCATTTGTATAATGGGAATCCTTAAGCTAAATTTGGGGTCCAAATTTGGAGGCTTTTGGGGCAAGAAAGTTGGTGTGTGAGTTCTGAAGTTGGAAATGAATTCAGGTATCTGTTTTTCCAGGGCAGCGTGGTCCAGTGAGCACATGTAGGTTTGGGCAGTAGCCCCCCTGAGCCTACTTCTCTTCTATTCAGTGAGGATGCTGCTTCCTTGGCAGGTGATTATGATGTGAGGCTGAAAAAGTAACAGATGTGCAAGTATCTGGAGAGTCCTGACATTCAGTTGTCGTTTCGTTTCCTTTTGGAATCTTCAAAGGCAGCGATTTTCATATTGCCTCACACCCTGGGGGGCTCTGGGACCAATGGGGGACCTCCTAAATCCTCCATAGTCTGAGCAGTTCAGCCATTGTCTGTTTTAGTATTGTGTCTCTGTATTTCGCTTGCAGACAGAATTTTGCTTCTATAAAGGACTTTTAAAAAGTACTCCAAAGAGATCTCGATCTGGAGCAGAGGGGAGATGGTTTCCCAAACTTAGGGCAGTCCTGAGGAGCTCAGGGTAGCAGCCCTTTTCTTGGTTCCCTTTGTGGGTCTTGGTCAGATGATGCCCTTTAGATCTGTGCTGTCCAATATGTAGCCGCTAGCCACTGACAGCTGTCAGGCTCTTGCAATACGGCTGGTCCGAGCTGTGATACACTGCAAGTGTAAACACAAACCAGACTTTGAAGGCTTAGTATGATAACAAGAGAAAAGGAGTGTAAAATATGTCAATAACTTTTTTATATATGTGTTGAAATATTTTGGGTATTGAGTTAAATAAAATGTTATTAAAATTCATTTGTTTCCCTTTTACTTGTGTAATATGGCTGCTAGAAAATATAAAGTTACCCATGTGGCTTGTATCTGTGGCTCACATTATCCTTCTCTTGGACAGCGCCAGCTTTAGATCTCCAGGACCAGCATTTGTGCCACTGCTTCCTCTCCCAGGCCTCTCATGAGCTGAGTCCAGGCACAGCTGGGAGGGTGGGCCCGGCTCCCTCACCTCCCTTCTGGGCTCCAGCCTTCATGGTGCCAGGACTTTCTTGTGTGTTAATGAGACTCTACTGGCGTTGGGAGCAGGGGCTCTGGTCCCCTGCTGTGTGCTAGTTATGTAATCTGTGCTGCCCAGAAGGGCCACTAGATGCTGCTCTGTGATCCCTGAAAGAACAAAGCAGACTTCCTCGGGAGTCAGAGTTCAGGCCTGCTTTATTTGGAACCCTTCCTGGATGCTGTAGCTGGCCCCAGCCTTGGCCCCTCTTCCTCGGGATGCTATGGGAAGTGGGGCATGCAGGAAGAGTGGACTCTCCGGCAGTACACGAGGAGGCTGGCCCAGCAGGGCAGCTAACAAGCAGGCTGGCCCTTCAGGCAGCTAGAGATAGGCTATAGGCTAAGTAGGCTGATTGATGGGGGTGGGATTTGGAAATCTTCCCTGCAGTTCTATGATGAAGGCAGCTGGGAAGAAAACAGCACTGCCTCATTCAACTGGGTCTGCTTCTGGGTCCTTGATTCTGCCGTTAGTGGCAGCTGACTGCCTTTTCTTCCTTGCTTCCTGTTGGAGCAGTGATAGGAGCTGGGGGTAGGGAGGTGGTGGTGGGATGACTGAAAAGAGCTACGTGGTGTCTCAAAACAAGCATAACAGGCATGGCCTCGGTGTGTAGGAGCTTCTGGAGACCCCTTCCCTCAGTTGCAGCAGCAAATGGGTTGCCAGGGCCATCCTATTCCTGCTGTGCTGCAACTGTGACTTTGCCTTGGACAAGTGTGAGGAGGCTGGTGTTCTGCTGAGAGCTCTTTTTGAAGGTGAGAGGACACAGGGTGTGGCCTGGCTTCAAAAGGCCCATGCAGAGGCATGCTGCTCTGGAGTGGGAAGCAGGTGTGTGTTGTGAGGGTGAGCTTGGTCTGCTTCCCCGTGAATTAGAATAGCTAGAACTGAGATTCAGAGTTAAAGGTAACAGTGGGAAGGTAAAGTAAACAAAGGTAACTGGGCCCAGGTTTTTCTAAGGGGTGGATCTTGGCTCACTGCAACCTCTGCCTCCAGGTTTAAGTGATTCTCCTGCCTCAGCCTCCTGAGCAGCTGGGATTACAGGTGTCTGCCACCAAGCCCAGCTAATTTTTTTTTTTGTACTTTTAGTAGAGACGGTGTTTCACTGTGTTAGCCAGGCTGGTCCCAAACTCCTGACCTCAGGTCATCCTCCCACCTTGGCCTCCGAAACTGCTGGATGCGGTGTGGCCACCATGCCCAGCCAGGGGTGGATTATAGGCTTCAAAATTTGGACATATTTTGGGAGGTGGAAAACATTTAACTTTGACTCAACACTAGAATCTGAAGGGGGGCATGAGGCAAAAGGTAGTGTGAACACAGAGCCAACTCAGGAGCTAGAGGCTCCAACTAGGGGCTGAGGAAAAGAGGCTGGGGTTCAGCTTTCCTCTGAGAAAGAAGAGGGACACTGGGTCAGGGTCTTGAAGGAGATTGTTTCTTCTGGCTACTGCTATTTTTTTTTTTTTGAGACGGAGTTTTGCTCTTGTTGCCCAGGCTGGAGTGCAATGGCGCGATCTCGGCTCATTGCAGCCTCCATCTCCCAGGTTCAAGCAATTATCCTGCCCCAGCCTCCTGAGTAGCTGGGATTACAGGCACCTGCCACCATGCCTGGCTAATTTTTTTGTTTTTTTTTTTTTTTTAGCAGAGACGGGGTTTCACCATATTGGCCAGGTTGGTCTTGAACTGACCTCAGATGATCCGCCCGCCTCAGCTTCCCAAACTGCTGGGACTACAGGGGTGAGTCACTGCACCCGGCCTCTTCTGGCTTCTTACTGTGAGATGCAGGAGGGTTGAGGACAGCTCCATTTGAAGAGCAGGTAGACTTGTACACTGAGGAACATTCAGAGGGAGGGGCACACTGAGCTGGGAGCCTGCCTTCCTCTTCTGAGTTACCAAAACAGCTGCTCTGGATGTTCTGAAGGGCTGTGGGCAAAGCAGCCCTCTGAGTATGAGCAATGCATTTTCCACTATATGTCTGTCCCCCAAGGTTCCTAAAGCCTTGAATTCCCATTGACAGAAATCTCTGGGTGGCACATAAGCAAAATCTATCACTTTCTGACTTGCTTGCAGCATCTTGAATACCAGATTCCTTTTCTGTTCCTCCTAGGGCAGTTAACAGGGCTGGCGAAGGGTGACAGCCTAGTGGGCTGGAGTGGTCAGGGAATTGGGTGTCATCCTCTCCTCTGGAGTGCCACTCCCTCATCTCTAGGTTCAGAGACGATCTGGATTAAGGCAGAGATTAAGTCTCCTGTTTCCCAGGTTTGTGGTCAGTTTTGAATCAATCTCCAGAAACACGGTAAAATAAAAATAGTAAATTAACAACGGTGAGATACCTGGATTCACATCTGACAGGAACAGCTCTTTCAGAACCAGAATTTTACTCAAATTTGGCTAGCATCTTCTTACATTATACATACTTAGAATTTAAAATGTTTAAGAAGGTAAGAAGGCTGGTCGGAGGGGCAGTTGCTTCACCTTTAATATAACAAGAGGGCGAGTGGGAACTTCGAGGTCTTATTTGTGACGGGCTCAGGCTTGGCTCGTGGTTGGCCGGAACTGCTACGGGCCACGCTTCTCCGGCTTGGATTTCTGAGACCCACCCGGGCCGCAGGCATCTACCCAGGATGAGGGAACGGAGGCCCCGGAGGGGTGGCCAAAACCGACTGGACTGTCCACTCGGGGTTCCCGTGGCACCCGGGCGGCCTCAGTAAAGGCGTCTCCTCTCCCCGCCCAGGGCCTTTTTCCTTGCACTCCCTGGCTGCTTTCCCCAGGTACGGGATGTCAGCTGTAAGGAGGGAGCTAGGGGCCCAGGCCTTGGCGGAGAGCTCCTCACGCGGAGCCTGCGGGCCGCCGGCGGCCAGGGCGGGGACTTCGCCGAGAGCGCCCCCGCGGCCGGCAGCTGCGGGCGCCGCGGCGGGAACAAAGGCAGCACGTGTCTGGGCGGGGCGCGGGCGGGGTCGGCCCTCGGCCCCGCCCTGCGCGGCGCCAGCTCCGCGTCGGCAGAGTCGGCCTGCGCGGACGCCCGGGACTCGGCGGCCTGGCTGCTGCTGGGCGGCGGCGAGGAGCGGGCGGTGATCTGTGCGGGAGGGGCTGCCCGGAGGGGCGGCCCTGAGGGGCGGGGCGGTCCGGCGTCCGGTGTCCCGCCGCTGCCGCCGAGTCCGGCTCATAGATGGGGCCCGGCGACTAGAGGCCTCCCGCTCGGTGCCACATCCTACCCGCACCGTGCGCGGCTAGAGCTGAGGACACCCACGGCCGCGGCTCACCGGCAAGACCAGGCCGGCGCGTGGACCGTGCGCGCGCCCCGCGAGGGAGCGCGCTGAGGCGCGCGCCGGGAACGGGAGCGGGAGCGGGAGCGGGAGCTGGAGCGCGGCGGCGAAGGTGCGGGCGGCCGAACGGGGGGCGGGGCCGCGGCGCCTGCAGAACCTTGGACAGAAGCTCCCGAGCCGCCGCCGCCGAGCGCGAGCCCCGCCGAGCGCCCCCGAGCGCCGCCCAGCGCCGGGACCGCGGCGGCAGAACCGCGGCGCGCATTGCGGAGGGCGCGGAGCGCAGGAACCGCCGCCTGCCGGGTAAGCCTATGCTGGGCGGCCGTCCTTGGCCCCGGGGAGTGGGGACCGGGGTCGCGGCCGCGCAGGGTGTCGAGGCGGGGGTCCTCGGCAGCCTCCGTTGGCGCCCGGGCCCCTCCCGGCTGCGCCTGGGGACCGCAGCGGCGGCGGCGGGCGGGGGTGCTGCAGTGGAGGCGGCGAGGCTGCGGCGCGGGGGCGCGGGCAGGGCCCAGGACTGGGGCCGCGGGGGCTGCCAAGGCGCTGGGCGGGGGGGCGCGGCGTGGAGCCCCGCCTGGCGTTGAGAACCATCTTGTTTTCCAGGCAGATCCGAGGGGGCAGCACGCGTCCCGGGAGCGCCCCCGTCCCTTTCCCGGGGCCGCCACAGGTTCGGTGAGCGGTTTTTTCCCTCTGGCCGGCAGGCTGGGCGCGCAGGGGCGCGAGCCCCCGCCCGGCGCGCAGCGACACCATGGGCACGGTGCTGTCCCTGTCCCCCAGCTACCGGAAGGCCACGCTATTTGAGGATGGCGCGGCCACCGTGGGCCACTACACGGCCGTGCAGAACAGCAAGAACGCCAAGGACAAGAACCTGAAGCGCCATTCCATCATCTCCGTGCTGCCTTGGAAGAGGATCGTGGCCGTGTCAGCCAAGAAGAAGAACTCCAAGAAGGTGCAGCCCAACAGCAGCTACCAGAACAACGTCACGCACCTCAACAATGAGAACCTGAAGAAGTCGCTGTCGTGCGCCAACCTGTCCACATTCGCCCAGCCCCCACCGGCCCAGCCGCCCGCACCCCCGGCCAGCCAGCTCTCGGGCTCCCAGACCGGGGGCTCCTCCTCGGTCAAGAAGGCCCCTCACCCTGCCGTCACCTCCGCAGGGACGCCCAAACGGGTCATCGTCCAGGCGTCCACCAGCGAGCTGTTGCGATGCCTGGGTGAGTTTCTCTGCCGCCGGTGCTACCGCCTGAAGCACCTGTCTCCCACGGACCCCGTGCTCTGGCTGCGCAGCGTGGACCGCTCGCTGCTTCTGCAGGGCTGGCAGGACCAGGGCTTCATCACGCCGGCCAACGTGGTCTTCCTCTACATGCTCTGCAGGGATGTTATCTCCTCGGAGGTGGGCTCGGATCACGAGCTCCAGGCCGTCCTGCTGACCTGCCTGTACCTCTCCTACTCCTACATGGGCAACGAGATCTCCTACCCGCTCAAGCCCTTCCTGGTGGAGA